CGCTAAAAAGCGGTATCAGGATTTAAAGCAGCCATAAAGATACTACATTATTTCATACATTTAGGTCACCTACTGATTCTCCTGGTTCAAACTTGTCATTATAGTAAAGAGCACCAGCAGACCGGGTGGATCGACGAAACAACTTTGATAGGCCGCTAGTGGCAGCACCATTGCGAACAATCTAAAACACGGTGTTTCATCGTCCCTTTGAGCCTCACATTTTGAAAGACAAGCATAAAATCACCAACACTCTCAACTTTCGAATTAAAAGACTGCCAGATCTGACTACAAACACATACGATCTTGGCGAAGCAGGCTGACTGTCCAACTACATTGCACCAGTGTTGTGCTCCAATCAACAGGCGATTTCAAAGTCATTGTAATGACATCAGAAGAATGTGAGTTGTTAAGATTTTTCCGGTTATTTAAGGAAGCTGCCCAAGATTAAAGGGAAAAGTTAATTGCAATGCACTGCATTCAATTTAATAATAAATTGGTAGCATTTAAAGTCTAAAAATTTTTCGTCAATTATTTTAAAATCAGGAAAAGTCGAAAATTGTATTTTTTTCGACTTCATAAAGCAATGAAGAGAAACATTAATTGGTGTCCAAAGACTGAAGAAAATATAAAATGATAGCTGCTGTGCAGAATATGTAAGAAAGTGGTGTCCCTTTAGTTCGACGAAACACAGCTTACCATTTAAAATGGGAACATCCAGGAAACGGTTTGTTTCCAAGCTACCCGACTTTATGGATTTTGTCAAGGCTTATAATTTTAAGTTAGAGTGTTGTAGACGGTCAGAAGGCATGGACGTTATCTCGAGATGTCTTCTACACGCTTCTATATGGGTTTATTTAACATCCCTTGATAGATTTTGTACTATCTGGCACTCATAGTGTACGCATTTGAACAAATAGAATATGATAACTTGCAAAACGATGCACGCATTTTAGTGCTAGATTTTTTAGCCATTAGGACTCACTTTTGTTTGAATCAGCAAAATTGTCTGTACTTCATAGGCTGCCCCCAGTGTACCAATCACCAACTAACTTGTCAGGAAGCATTATTTTCAAGTTGGTGTGAATATTGTTAGCATATTCCCAATGTAGGTAGCTATGGCTCCCGTCTTGGATGCACTTAATTCCTTGCTCGCACATTTGCGGTGTCAATCGCTATTGTTTAGTTACTGCCGTTGATACCTTACTGTCATTATTTCCATTCTGTGGCATAACTAGCATTGTTTTCCCTGTTCGTTTTAAACTTTTAGATGCCCCTTCTGGACGATGACAGAGTACATTTATTTATAATTCTTCTCCTAATACCCCTTCAATTTCTTGTTTGGAACTACATACATGCGTCGCAAGACGACACGGATTTAATCTTCAGACCCAGTATCTACTTTAAGTCCAACCCATTTTTCGTATTTAATTATCTTAAAAACGCAACTGCAAAGATTTACCGGAGGGGTGTTGCTGGCATTTCGTCCCTAAAGGTGTGTACAAACTGTTTGTATCTTGAATTTGTACTGCATTTTCTGTCTAACTTCTTTCTTACTATATTCTGTCCAGTTGAAAGACTTGTTTGCTTTCCCGATATCAATGCGATCTTCCAAGCCGACATTGCCACCACCTTCACCACCTAAGATTATTGAGCTTTACGAACGCAATCACGTCTTTTTTGGAGCCAACCAGCGAATTCATCAGACTCGACCCCTCTCCCTGCGTTTTTCAATTGGTCAGGTAGTGCGCCATCGTCTGGGTTTTAAGGCCGTGGTGATTGGTTGGGACGAGTTCGCATGTGCACCGGCATCCTGGATGGTCCTCCGATATCCTCGACTCGAGAGAGAGCTGGTAGGTTTGTTTCAAGGTCATGCTCTCATCCCTATCCTCTTTCTTCTTACATAGGAAGCAAGACGACAGCCAAACTATCGTCTTCTTGCCGATGCAAAGGACACAATTTTCCAGTTGGGGCCTGTATACGCTGCTCAAGATGAGCTGGAGGCCTTGTCTCCAGAAGAACTAAAGACGGAGACCAGAGACCTCTACCCTCATGTAGCCGTAATCAAACACTCAATCATCCCTGAATTTTTCGACTTTTTTGATGGGAAAAAGTTTTCTCCCCGACCATGGCTTCGTCGCATCTATCCTCAAGGGTGACAAATCCCCGTCCTACCATAATAATTCGGGTTTTTCTGAAGTGCCTTCCGATTGCAGCCAACGCGCTGCACATGTCCCCTTCTTCAACTTCTTAAATACGGATTGCCTTGCTGTAGTGGATGTTGGTTTTGAATCCTTATGCACAAAAAGAGGATTTAACCTGCAGATAATCTAACTTGAGAAATTTAAATTTTTGGCATTTATTCAGACACTTTGGTCGGTTGCTTTTTCTTGCGTTTTTATGACTAGATGATACGACTTTGGCTCAGAAATTGGATTTACTTGGTGCAAATGACTTAATTTGGCAGCATGCACATAAAGTCACGTTGGTCGCTATCCGTAAATTTGAAGAGGCTGCACAAGCATTTTTTCGGATACTTCATTTTGACTTTGATTCGATTGAATTTGTTACTCAGCGAAGCAGTAGGTAGGTTAGTCGTCCTATTGTTGTCTTCTCAGTTATTCAGGCGTTTTTTACCTTTCTTGGAGGACAGATGACCAGATGTGCACTAACGCGAAAATTCTGATTATATGAAGGGCTGAAGGTACCCTTTTATATGCATGTGTTTATTGATAATGCATACATTTCGACCAAGACTCTATGAGTGGGTGCAATGGGTTCTTGGGCTTTTTAATACTTAACAATGGACAACTGTAGGGTGACTTGTGGGCATGAAGTGGTATATCTGTGGAGAAGCGGGTGGATTTGTTTAAGTGGTAAGTGTTCGTTTCCTCACTAAAAGCCAGGGATCTTAGCCATTCCTCATCACAAATCAATCAGCGAATCACATAAAGTCCACTGAGTATTTCATATTGCTAAATTAAAAGGCAAAAAGGTGGGTCCCTACGACGCTCATTTATTTGGCGGCTTCCACGACTTCCTCCGTCGGTGTAGGTGCCCGTTGTCTTTCAATATTTCCAAAAGTTCTTGTCACCCTAATGCTTGGTTAGTTTAGTCAAGTACTTCCTCACTGCCAAAAAGCAAAGGACATTATGGGCGTGATACGCCTATCTTTAAACGAGTCGTCGTTAGAAACGAACCCTGGGGAGGTGAGCTCCGCTACCGCACCTTCTTCGAATCCTTTATGATGATTTACAAGGCAGACTAGTTCAAAACTGATGCACTGTGGGGGGTTTAAAATAGGGAGACATACTGGAGAGGGAAACAGACTGCAGATGGGTCAAAGTTGATCTCCTCTACTTTCCACGTGCCTACAAATTACGAGGAGGCACTACAGCGTCCCAAACCGCAATAGGCACCACCTTTCCCCGACCTCCTGGCGTCATAGACACCCTTGCAAGGTTCTAGCCCCGATCTTTGGCCTCTCAACTCGATTGTGGTGGGTATTCGTGAGTGAGCTATTGGCTCAATATGACTTAGAGAAGTGGCTAATAGAATGCAAATAAGTGAACTGATTGGTTGATCTGACGTGGTGACTGTGACCAACAACCAATCAAATTGAAAAGCGCATTTGGCTAACTAGTGGTCAAACACACCGTTTTGAAGAAATTTCATTATTTAAAAATTTGGGAAAAAAGCAAATCATTGAATAGTCACATGAGTGAATTAATAAGAGGATATGTATGGCAAAGTTTCATTTAAGTCACAAGAGAAGATAATGCTGCCCTACGAAAAAGTGCTTCAGTTTTAAAAATTGAAACATAATGGCGTTTCTGGGAGGGTTTCGGAAATATCGTGGATGTTTATCAATAGTCTTTATTACGAAAACACTGATGATTTGCATGAATGTGTAATAAAGTAATTGGCTGTTCAATTTTTTCGTTCCCGTCGCACGGGCACTTAAGGCCTTCCTTCTGAAATTCCGCTGCACCGCATGGCCTTTACGTTATGCCATCAGCCCCTCTCTAGTTTACCTGTAGGTTAAAAAAAATTTTTTACCCCTGTATAATGACTTCTTTTGCCATCAGGGTTGACTCGGTGAACTATATTGGAGGGACGGGGGTGTAGATGATAACTGGTTGTTGGCACCATAAGTGCAAGCTGTCCATTCCCCAACTACTTAAAGAATTCTGAGATTCTTCTCTCTCCAAACATGCTCTCGAAAACATAATTAATTACCTTAATTCCCCAAAATAGCATTTCTTCTTTGTCAGTCTTATCATCAACTATTGTCGTCCCTTGGATAAGATTACGCCCCCACCGACTCACGTCCCCTCCCAAAATTCCATAAATCCACTCCGAAAGTGAATAAGCCGTTAACAAAGTTAGCCAATCCAGAACCTTATAAGGTCATTCCACCTCCTCCAGCGTCACGAAATTGGATGTCTCCCTCATTTGTCTGGGAGATCACGAGGTTGCAGTCGAGGCCAACTGCCGTCATCTGTTCTGTGGTGACCGTTTCTGTGCCTATTGGCTGCTGCCACCAGTGTAGTGCCCCGAATCTTCCCTGAAGTCAAAAAAAGACATCATACCACTGGAGAAAACGTATTTACGAAGTACAGGAGGGCTGAGGATCTACTGACCTGGTCCGGAAGTGCAACAGCAGAGCCTTAAATGCCCGTGCAACCACAGCAAAGAGCTTAACAAACAAATGACTACTGTAACCAATTTAAAAGATATTTGCGGAAATTTTTAAGTTCAAATCAATCGAGTAACACTGTGGTGCATGGTGTTATGCATCGAGATAACATGAAAATTTACAATCAATCGCACTTGTGTGGAGAAATTAGAGTTCGCCTTCTCCCTGACAATAGATGTCATCTGCTCATTTACAAAAATGACTTACTCTGCTCTCTCGTGGACTAAAAGGCGGCTGTTCTTGAGGAGAACTTACGTATCTGGCGGAGATTTATTGAGGTCAAAATGAAAATTTGCTGAAATACATCCGGTTCCCTAGCGTATATGCCAGACCACACATGGGTTTTGGTTACCATTTTAGAATGTAGTCGTGATTACAACCAACAAATGCACGCGGATCCTTTTCAATGAATCTAATTAGGCTGAGAATATGGTAACACCATATATATTTTGCAACAAACATGGAAGTCTACTTATAAGATATAAGTACCGTATCCACAGCTTACTTAGGTATTCTTTTTGATATTTTTCCCTTTTTCATTTAAAAAAAATCCAATTTTAGGGCATTTTGGATAAATCTTATTCGCATTGTTTGAGCAGCAAATGGAAACCAAACCCCACCTAACATTGCTGTCATCTCTTGCACACCAAATTAGGAAACTATTGTTGGCAGTAACTGTTTTGTAGTTTACAGCACCAAACCCTGCTCATCTGGTTAAAACAAATTGATAAAAGCGTTTTAGCGTCTAAGTCTTCTCCTAAGAAGCTGCACTACAGTTAATCCCTTAAGTAACCTTTTTATTGGCACACAAAGGACCTGCGACGCCGGTGCCATCATTGGTACGAGGGGAGTGGAATCTCGGGGCTCTGGAAACATCAGTTAAATCAGACATGCAATTGGGATAAGCAACGTGCTTCTCCTTAATGTATTTAGCCAATCCTCTTAAATGCTTAGATTTTATTTCAACTTAAAGCTGTTGTGGTGGAGAATAGTACCGGCTTGCTTCCTCTCGATTACTTTCACTTGATCGAAGAAGCGTCGTAATTCTTGCGATGAAGATTAATCAAAATAGGCCACTTTATGCAAACTGTACTTTGTCATTTAGCCTTCAAATCTTAAACTCCTCGTACACATTCTATAGACACCCAAGAGGCAACAAAAGTTCGCGGTTTAAAACAAGTCTTGTAATGATTCATGAACTGTTTTTACTTAAGAAAATATAAAAAAAAGCGCCTAATTTTCAAGGTGTTAGGTAGTTTTCTTTTCAAAAAATCAAAAACTGACCTTTTAATTACCAACGGAGTGTTTTCGGTCAAAGGTAAAACCTCGGCCAAACGGTGTTCCACTTGCAAACACCTATTCAAATGGTTGGAAAAATGACGAGGTTGGTGTCCTGTCCGTAAAAAGAGTGTTGTCTATGCCAAAAAAGCGCAGACACTAGTACGTCTGCCACCAGATTGCTTCTACAAAGTATATTGCGCCTAATTTTGTCTAGTGACTGATTCTCGGCGCCATGCTACCTCATAGCATGAATGTGTTCGGCTTCGGGAGGTAATCATTTCGAGGAGTGACACTTGCACTACCCTCTGAAGATGCATTTGGACACAGGTCCGCATAAATATTTTCCCTTCAAACAAAGACTCTAGATGGTAAACTCGAGCAGTAGGTTGACAATCTTGCATTATCTGGAGTCCAAAAGTACCGCAGTTACATTCAAAGCTGGTATGAGTAATTGCCATCAGAGGTGGACAAAGACAAAGACAAAGACAGGACAAAGAACTAAACAGAAACAAAGAGCTAAATTTAAAAATAATTGGGACTTCATAGGAATATTTTTCTGGTAAATATTCACTCCATAATACACAAAATCTATGAATATCTTCATTTTGACTTTTATACTTTTTGATAGTTTTTACAATGGGCCACTTAGGGCAACGCCGGGCGGCTTGACTTCCAGGCCGTGTCGGTAGGCCTCAAATCCTTCTGTAGGTCAGCAGTGGGTATTCTGCCCGAGTGTTGTGTTTTCTTTCGTCTTTAGGGAAGTCTTTGTGAGCAACACAAAATCAACGAGTATTGTTGCGGCCTTCCACCCTTGCAAAACTCGAAGTATCTGAGACGATTTTATCCAACGTAGATTCCCAAGAGACCAACAAGCTGGAGCTAGTTTACCTAAAGAGCTTAACCAAAACACTAAATGACATTCTGCTCAGTAAAATGTTACGACTGTTCACTTCAGTTAAAAGTTTTCGTTATAAATCTAATCATCAGGAGACCGCTCACTTTAGACAACTTTTCTAATTAACAACTCCACATAAAAATAATCGGGAACTGTATGGATTAAGTAATTACATATAGAACTTCTCGGTGTGCTCAGGATACGGAAAATTGCCCCCCCTCCCCTCAGGACAGCTCTGCTGCCGGCTATTCAACAGCGCTTCTGACCCACACAAGCACGGACTAAGTGGTAGAGCAACAGTCTAAGACAGTCTAAGAAGCGTCAAAGTCTGAATTACGAAATCGGAGCCGGAGATAAGGCTAGTTTAATGGTGAGAAGCGCACTAACTACGTTTCGTTACCGGAAATCCTGGTCTCAAAGCCACAGCTGAAGTAACTCTCAAGCTCATCACCTCAGTTAGTGTCAGTTGGGGAGATTGTGTCGACTACTTCCTTCGAAAGTGCTGCCGTTGTTAAGCCCTAGTATCATCAGACTGGACAAACTGTTAGATTTATTAGCATAATTAATGCCTTTTTGAGACATACGGCCTGATTTTTGGCAAATTAGCGTGTGAATGATTACCAGTTTGTTAGCCAAAACCCCTTCTGTATGTTCTTGTGAAGTTAAAGCCAACCATTACAGGATTTTCATGCTTTTTCTTAGTCTTAGATGTTACAAGTATTTTCTGGAATATAATCACTATCATTTTAAGTCCTTTAAAAGTACAGGTGGGTATTCCAGAGTAAGACATAAAGTTGGAAAAAACCGTAGTACTTTGAAGTCACCTGACAAACTTCCGATTTAGGTTTTTACCTGGTTAGAGGCCTTCGCTACTAAAGCGTTAAGGAGGACGGCAAAGGGAGTAATGTGCTGGCAAACATTTGTTGTCAAGATTCTGGCCTAGCAGCTTCACTTGATGAGCTACGGAACAACCAAAAGGAAAAATAAAACACACCTTGCCGCCATACCATGCAGGTGCTTCCACCCAACTGCTTAGTCGATGATAAATAACGAACTTATTGCCCTTGCCGCTTGTTTCAACTTCCCTCTAGTAGCTGTTGATTCAAAAATAAAGTTGATCATTATGTGACCGACGTTTACATTGCATCAAGATCGCATGCCCAGAAGAAACAAAACAGAAAATTTAGAGCGCTGCCGATGAGGAAGTAACCCCTTGATTGTTTTCCCACGTACAGGCGCACAAGAGTGGTGTTGTGAATCACTGATGTCTACCCACCTGCCAAATTGTCAATAAGGCGCGCTAAATCACTTTGTACAAGGCCGCACCTTCGTAATGCATTTGCATAATATTTCCCGATAAATCGGGGGAAGCCTTCATAAAAATGGTTTTCAAAGCCTTTTAAGTGTTCTGTGTAATGTCACGGTGTCCTGTAAGGAACAAGGTCTCATTGTCGTGGATTTGCGTAAGGGTTGGACCAGAATAAAAGAGGGACGGTTTTATTGTCATCCCTCATTTTACGGTTCTTCCCCCAGAATTTCGTCCACCTATTTGGTATTACTTCGCTAGTTCGTAATTTGGATTGGAAAAGCAAATTCAGAGTTTTTTGAGCCAGTAGTTTCCCTGTGGGGGGGGAATGCAAATCCTGGAAAAGGTTAAGAGAATTTGCTGATGGTAAAAAACCAGCAGTTGAATGACCCGTGTCTTTGTGCTATCTCGCGTTTAGTCACGGCTCGTTTATTCCCGACAGAAGGATGACCTCATCGTACTAGAAAAATTTTGAAGCAGCTAAACAACTTACAAACATTAAAAATTTGGAGGTTATATAAGTATTCAAGAAGTAATACCAAATTAATTTTCCTCTGGTTTAGACAACTGGCAGCTCATTTTAGTTTCACTTTATTGTTACCATGTAAAATCAATCTATCATTTCTCCATAAGATGAATCATTAAACTATCATTGAGTGATCCACCCAACCATTATTCGCTCCATATTTTTGAAAAGAAATTAGGAAATCTTTGGAGTTTCACATTTCCCTAGAATACCTTTATGCCATCAATTACTGCACCTACTTGTTTTATGGTCGCCGTAAAAGAGCATTCACCACTAGTTAGGCACAGTATTCAAATATTCCCCAAGGATAGCTAAAAATGTTAGCTTTGTTTAGTAAATTTTATTCCTTGACTTTAATGTACTCGTTTGAAGCTTCATTTCCGTTAACAATGGCCATGTTCTCGTACTTCCTGAACCGAGATTTAGAATAGACGCCACCAGAGGGCGTAAGAAGGATGCAGTAGTAATCCATTACAGTTCCCTTTTTATTAGGATCTTGTATAACGGCGAAATTTTCAGTGCTTTCGCGCAGCAAGAGGTGCTAATTGACAGTGATTCACTGATCCGCCGGATCTGGGTTCAACACCAGTACCTCACTTGGCTCCTCCCGGGTTGTAAGTAATCCACACTTTCGTCCTGCCTTATTCGTAATCATTCGGTTGGGATAGCTCAAGATAAGGGATCGAATAACATTTACTAGCTATGTGCTTCGTCAGGAGAGCTTCACACGTATAAATGGAATCACGTCCTCAAAATAGCGGTCAACATTCATTAAGTTAGTGGTAAACCAGTCTCTCCACTTTTTTTATGTAAGCGCAAAGAGTGTAATGGGCATATTCAGGTTGGTGAAGCTTGAAAAAAGACGCCTTATTTATAAGGTCTTATCCCCTATTTTAATTTTCAAAGAGTAAGCAGTGATGTTAAAAAGACGCATTTCCTATCGACATTAATTAACGACGCCTAGATTTTTCAGCAAGTAAGTTTAAGAAATAAACAGTTAATTAAATAGTTGCAGTTTTGGAGTTAATCATTATAAAACTACTCTTGCATTTGATTTGCCTCACTAACTTAACGAGATGCTATTGGTTAATTGCCAGAGCATAAAGGCGTTCCAGAGGCCGAATGAAGGCACAATACTAGGAGAGAAAGTGTTTTCTTGACGCACAGAATGGCTGAGGCGCTACTGGCATGCCCCAGAGGTCATGCCGCCCAGTGGAAGCACAAAAGCAGGGCCTCAAGAGCCTGAAAATCTAAAAGGAAGAATTAATCAAACTATTGAAGTGGTAAAGAGCCACAACTTTTTCTATAACAGGAAGGTTTCAAAAATAAATCCAACCAGAGTTATTTTTTAGATCTGCTGTAACAAGAAAGCAGGGCTAATTTGTGCCACAACAATGTGGTGCATGGGCATTCCAAACCGGTCATTAGTATTCTGCTTCAGTGCTGACTCACAGAAGAGCTGAGGGGCTACTGGCACGACCTGCAGCAAAGTGAAGATGGCGCACTTTTGAACTGTTTAATAAAAACAGGTTATTACCTGAAATTGTAAGGCTGTAATTTTTATCACTGCGCTTTGAATGAAAGAACTTATCAAGTTCATTTCCAGCAATCAGCTTTAGTGCAAAAAAAAATTTTGGCGTGAAAAAAGTGAAGGAAATCACCTTTAGAAAGGAGGAACTTTAAAATTGCACTTCTGGGTCTGAAAGTTCAAGTTGCCTTTTTGGTTGTCAGGATACAAATTTGAAGAACATCCATTGTCGCATCTCCACTTTTTATAGTTCTACCGCCTATTTTATCTCATTATGGTAAAGAAAGGTTCGGGTATTGCGCTGACAGTTTGCAAATAACTTGAGGTCTTATCAAGATATCGAAGCTATTTTTTCTTCTCTTCCTCCTCCTTGGGGACCGATGGCATCGCATTCACAAGGCTGGTTCAACCGCTTGCCACTTAAAAGGTTTATTCACACACACGTATTACATGCATTACCTCAAAATTGAGTTTTTTTTTGTAAAATTCATTACGCCTCGGGGCATCGCATTGATGGCAGTGACAAGCGAACCCGAGCTTTAAGGTCAACTATCCTGATTCCTACCGCTGAATGACAAAAGCTAACTTGATGGAAGAAGAGCATATGCTGCAGATAAGAGAATTTGTGAAGACGCCTAACAGAAGGAATGAAAATAATGCCTACCCCAGTAGGTCTGTGTTCTACGGGAATGCTGTTAAGATGTGAAGCGACACCAGCTGTGAACCATCTGAAGTGGTTTTTTACGGAGCTGTCTACAGCACCTCCATGAGGGGTCGACTGAGTGAACACGTGATACCTCCACCCCCTCTACTGGCTGGATAGAACCAGCTTTGAAGCGAGGACAGTGTCGAGGTGGGAGCGTTGTGAGACTTTATGCTCACGAAACTATTTTCAGCCTAGTTCTTGACTAAGTGAACCTGCTTTTGGACCACTGCGCTTACACCTAGAAATGGACATCCGAGATGGTCAGCCCACTTCCCGCCTTCCCCAATTAGTGTCCAGGCGGGCCGAAACTCGGGATCCAATGGAAGTGCCAGGGTTCAGAGGCATTGCAATCAAATATCACCTCAGTTGCATGCGATCTCGATGACCGACGTGTCTTACAATACCAACTATATTGTGATGAGCGATGCGGGAGGTTGACCAAGGCGAGTGCTAGGAGAGAGGCGCGAGGGAGGAGAGGGGAATAAGCAACACTTTGATGGCTTGTTTAACTCACTGCTTTAATTACACAGGCAGGTAAGGCTCCGTCTTTGTACTCTTGCAGGATGGAATGGTCTTTGGACCACATCAGTGGTCTCTCAGCCCTTACCTACGTTGGCAATGCATATTTTGTCCTCGTATCAACATTTCATTCGACTTCGGAAAGAAATTGAGCGCGCAACGACAGGCAGCGAAGTAGTTGAAGTCGATCACAAACTGTCTCCCTCGAAATCTGCCTCATCTAAGTTAATGTTGGAAGTCTTAGTCCAATTCATGTATCCTGTAAATGGTCAATCAAACAATTCCATCCCGAGAAAAGTGCATAGCTTTGACCCACTGCACCTGAGCGGTGAGGAATGAAGATAAGTGAGGGGGGAAATCGCTACTTAAGCACGGTGGAAACAGGTATTTAGTAGTGCTTTAGTTCCATTCGAAGGTCCTGGCATAATACAATCAACTCGTCGCTTTCCATCATGACAGCCTTCATTCCCACTAAACAAATGAAGCAGAATACGAGTCCTAAATATTGTATAAACAGAGAGTGAACTAGGGTAAGTGGTAAGTTGTGCCTCAACATATGTTATCGTTACAAATCATTCCCGAAGTAATTCTGACAGGCAAATTTTGACACCTCGTGACTCCACACTTTAAAATGCATTAAACACTAAGATCTGCAGGGCCAGGCGTCTCAATTTGATTCTGGGAAATAGAATTTAGCTCAAAGAAGCAATTTGATACTTTTTCAGGTGTATTTTGTAATTGCGCGTACTCTCTGACCGCCAGTGTGGCCATTGTCGCCTGGCTGGTGTGGCTGGAAGTCCAGGTCTTATAGGATCCCCTTTCGACCAATAGGAGGACTCCGGGGCACTGAAGCAGAATATTAATGACCGGTTTGGAATGCCCATGCACCACATTGTTGTGGCACAAATTAGCCCTGCTTTCTTGTTACAGCAGATCTAAAAAATAACTCTGGTTGGATTTATTTTTGAAACCTTCCTGTTATAGAAAAAGTTGTGGCTCTTTACCACTTCAATAGTTTGATTAATTCTTCCTTTTAGATTTTCAGGCTCTTGAGGCCCTGCTTTTGTGCTTCCACTGGGCGGCATGACCTCTGGGGCATGCCAGTAGCGCCTCAGCCATTCTGTGCGTCAAGAAAACACTTTTTGCCGAGTGTTATGTCCTTTTGCGAATCAGGAAAGACTCTGGGCACTAAATTAGTGGCAGGCGATGATAACTTGGTCCTAAAGGACAATTTCCTCCATTTCAACTGTGAGATGATAAATCTTAGAATGACGAAAAGAAAATATATGCTAAGGATGGGAGAATCTGTGATGACGTCTACCTTCGACAACTACCCCAATAGTTTCGTGTTCCGCATAAGTCCCATTGACAACTCAAGTGAGAGTAGCCGTCAATAATCTGGAAAAGTTTAAGAAGTTGTCTACGGTAACTCCATGAAGAGGTTAATGAAGCGGACATGCAATACCTCCTCCACCTCTCTACCAGCTGGACAGAAACCAGGTGGATACATGGCTGGATAGCACTAATGTGCGAAAGAGTAGCAAGAAGCAATTGAAGCGAAACCTCATCTCTATTTAACTATTAAAAAACCCCATTCTTTATCAAATGACTCTGCTCTTAGGTGAGTTTTCTTCGACTTACGATGGGCAAGCGTCGTGGTCAGCACTTTCTCCCCTTCCCTCAATACTCTTCCTAAACTAAATGCATTTATAGATCCAGTCAATATGCCAAGAGGAATCAGTGACGTTGCGGTCAAATGACGTCTCAGGTGTGGGAGATTCGATGACTGGTCGGTGTATTTTTACAGCACTGACTACGTTCAGGTGGCTGACATGGGAGGTTGACCAAGGCAGGTGCCGGGGACGGCGCTCAAAAGAAGAGTGAGGACAATGTAATAATTTGTTTATTTGTTTAACTTCCGATTTGCTCACACCGGCATTTAAGGTTCACACAGTATTTGGAGAACCGTTTTAGGTCACTGATAAAAGCGAATCAGAACAGTTCCCATCACCAGTTTTATGCTTATCGGCTAAATGTTATGTAGTGCCTAGGTCGGAAGTAGTCATAATACCAGGACAAAAATGCAGTGTCAACGTGCAGAATGACTGAGGGGGCTGATGGCATGGCCCGTAGACGATGCCTTCAAGTGGAAGTACAATGGCGGAGACTCAGGTACCCGCGTAACCAAAATGCAGAGTTATACGAACCACCAAAGCATCACATAGCCCCTCTTTCCTTTGGAGCATCAACCCAGGCGCTCTCCCTGGTCCACTTTCCGCGTGGCCCATTACAACACTGCTGGTGGTGTAAGAAAAACATCAACCACAAACCGACCGTGCCATTCATCGAATTTCTGTATATCTTAGAACATCATTTGACCTCGGAGGCGCTGGCTTCCCTAGACATATCAACTCGATCCGGCGTTTTGCCCTGTTTGGAAACTGTACTGTTGGAAGGAGGAATGTGATGGCCATCTTTTTGATTTTCCGTCATTATTCGTAAGACCACTAGCCCGCAGGCAGTTATTTAGTAAAAGACGGTATTAGGAATAGTTTCATGGGGATAGAATTTTGCCTCCGTTCATCCTCGCTGCTTTGCTCTTACTTCAGTGCTGCCCAGCCATAATTCCACCTGGATTTTATCCAGCTAGTAGAGAGTTGGCGAAGGTATCGCGTATTCACCTAATTGACGTCTTCATTCATCTACCGTAGGCAAATGTGTCACGAAATTATCCGGATGGCTCACGGCTAGTGTTGCTTGAGTTGCTGATGGCACTCCTGCAGAACGGGGTAATTGCCAAAGGGAGACTTCATTATCAGCCGTTACGTTAGGAGATATCACAGATCCTTCCACCCACAGTACATAGCCTTCTACGTATTCAGAGGGAAAATCCGAAATATTACAACTCGAAGCATTACCCTGACACGTTTCCGACAAGTAATGTCTTTTTAAAGCTGTAATATAGTTCTTACAATCGTCATTCGCCCAGGTGATTAAGCAGACAGTTTTATGGATCAGAGAGTGGTTGTGTAACTCCCGAGTCATCCATATAGGCTCGAAAAGGTTTACCGATTTGGAAGTAGATGCATTACAAATGCGCACAGAAGGGTTGGTAACATAAGGTGGGCGCCCAGATGACTATATCGCAGATACTGAAGTGAGGGCTGCACAAAGCCCAGTCTGTCAAAACAACCTCCAGGACCCTTTGTTCGAGCCACCGTTATTACCCAGACGGAGGGTTGGACGGCTTTGGGAGGAGGGGGACATGCCAGCGGCATTCGCAGACACCGCAAGAATGCACACCGCACTCACATACGTATGCATGCAGTCGTTTGCATCCACCGGCCGTATGCCTCAGGCACAGGTGTCTGACCAATCAGCACTGCGCTAAATGCTGATTGGTCTCCGCTTATCTGCACTTGGCCAAAGCCTCATGAATCCCTTACAACTCGGCCGCTGCATGGCGTCTTGACCTCGGTGGGTTTTCACTTCATCTCAATTCCCCTCCTTCTTTGCCTCTCTTGTTATTCTTAAGTTGCTTTTGCCTAGCTCGATTCTGCATTATGCGACTTCTATTAATTATCTTGATTCTCACTTTATTTAGGAGTAGATTTTAGCAGTTGACCTAGAAGATCTTGATAGAATACTTATGACTGTAAAAGCTTTTATATTAATCAGCTTTTTTATTGTTGACCCGTGACAAGGGACGGTGGATCCTACTAACCTTCCCTCTTAAGCAACTAGGAATTCCATCATTTGATATACTTACTGGTCCTCATAATGCCCCTTTTTTGCGTCTTGAGATTTCGCAAACTCGTTAGTCACGTTGGTACTGGAAGTAGGTAGCAAAATGGCGAACACAAACCCCATTGAATCACAAGTCGTCATTTATCATCTGTTAAGAGGAACCAACCTGTCTTGAAGTAATTTGTACATTCATAAAGGAGTAGTTTTGAATCACTTCGTAATATTCCTTTACCCAATTAAGAAGAGGCAAATAGCACATTTCTTGAATGTTTCTAAGCCATTTTACCGGTTCCCTTAGTTGATACTCATTTCCGACAGACTATAAATTACCTAACCCACTGCTAAGGTATCAACAGTCTAGACTACTGTGCTTGAATTACGGGGGAAGCAGGTGGGCGTGGCGACTTTTGCTGGCGCCCCCGGCTTTCGGTCTTCGTTAGCTCAATTTTGAGGCGGTCTGTACTGATGTGGCTAAAAAGTGCGCCTTAATTTACTTGGCACGACTAATGGCCAGTGATTTGATTAGTCGGTGATTCACTTGTCTGTTCGCCGTCTTTCCTCTTTCCACCGACGCGCTTACTCATTTTCAGGGTTCGAGAGAGGGGATTTATCAATTACTTCACTCGTCGTCTCGACTTTATCACGCTCCCCTTTTGTTGGCCAAAGCTACTGGCAGGCGGACCAGGTTCATAATAAAACAATGCGGGAACGAGATCTGCAATTGCCCCTCCTACCGTCTTTGTTGGTCTTCGCTATGCTTGAAATTCATTGCTAGTTCGGCGAATTCGGTCTAGGCTAATTGGAAGCGGCGGCCGTGTGGGGAGGATTTTGGATCTATTTGGCAGAGAGTAAGGCCTTACTTGGCAATTCTGTGGATTGCGGTAGGCGCATTACCCAAGTGCATCCCGTATGGACCTTGACAAAAAAGAAAAGCTCCAGTGAAAGTTGTGTAAATCTTCGTTGCATTTTTCACGGGTATTTTAGCTCAAACTGATTGTGACATGGTCTCCCTGGGTGAGACAGATGGTCACGTGCTCATAGGCGGCCATTTTAGTGACCACTAGTTGTTGACTTATTTGATTCCTTGTTGTCAAAACAGCATTGTTAACATTAACCTTACGTCCTTTTTATCTGTCCGGATCTCCATCGTTGGTTGGTTCGTTGCCCTTTCTCCAGCCGAACCGGATTGTATCAAAGCTTTTGAATCTTTTAATGTGTTTCGTCATTTTTATGTCTTCTTTTGAATGACGAAGCCGTTTGGTGCGAATTCATGTCAGTGCGACTTGTGGATTCATACTTGACCTCGCATTTGCGCGGAGGCTGAACTCTATCATTCGCATTCCTAAGGATCTCTTACCAATTTTCCACAGCCTATTCATAAATTTCTGGCCTTCTGAAGCAGATTTTGTGTTGCTATTGCTAACTTTAAAGGGGTTTCTTTCAGTGCGACCGCGTCTAAAAATCACTTTTGACTAATGTCTGGCATCGGCATTCTCGGTTCTGTAGTCATTTGTTATCCGGTCATTGGTGTAACGCTAGTTCCAATGACCAATGTGAACCAAGCGAACGGATCTCCGCGCGTTTCCATCCATCCGAGGGGCGACTGGATCAATCAACCCCCGTAAAATGATCTTTACCTAAGAAGTTGCGACCCTGAGCACAGATCCAACCAATCAGAGACGGGGGCTGTGTTGGACTAATCCAGGAGCAAGTTATTGGCAATCTGATGGGGCGAATTCTGGGAAGATTTCTAAGGCGTTTTCCCTCTTGGAGCAGTTGGAACTTTTCTAATTTTGCTGCCAAAATCTAGGTTCATAAGCGCTCCAAATTTACTGGGCAACAGGCGTTAAATAACGATTACCCCAAAGAACTTTTGACCGACGATTGAGTGACTGGTATTGACACTTTCCAGAAAGCGGTATGGCTATTTTGCAATTGCCATCTGGTCTGTTATGCCAACGTAGCGGGAATATAGCCTCAGCAAGCGACTGCAAGCTTGCCCAATGAGATCGGACCATTTCCTTCGTTTTGATTGGCTAACATTTGAAGTAGAGACTTTGGGCTCATAGCCAACCGGCCACCCCCTTCCAGGTCCTGTGGACTTACAAGAACCAGTGCTGATCAGTCCTGGACATTTCCAACCGATAATCTGGTGGTTCACTTTGCCCGCCATTTCCCCCTGCCCTCTGTCGGCTTCCTTCAATTAAAAATTTGAAGGAAGTTGGCTACCTTTACTTGATGCTTGAATGCTTGCCCAAAGCAGAGATCCCACAGAATATATCAACAATTTTAGTGGATGACACGCGGTTTGAGTCTGTATCACGTGAGTTGATTGAACGAGGTGAAATCTGCTAAGCCATTCCTGTGAGAGCTTTACCAGCATTCCTCATTTTCTCGTGATTCGAGAATACTTTGGGCCTCTAAGGTCATCAAAGGCCATACGAGGTGAGCCAGCATTGCGTCTGGCTGATCATTCACTATCAGCCGCACCCAACTCATCGGTGCCAATTATTTTGTTCTCTCAACTTTCAGATCTACCTTCAAGGATGTTCCACAACAGTGAAAAATGTGCACACCACAGTTGAAGTGCTCAGAACTGTCCCTGGAACATCTTCGTCCCTCCTCCGGACGGGTCTATTCTCACTCTCGTAGCCCCGACTCCTCGGCGGAAGCCCGCGTGTCCTTGAAAAAGGTCGCCTGGGTGATTAGTGAGCTGCTAGAGACAGAGCTAACCTACTTGGAGAGTCTCCGAGACATCAAAGAGGTGAGTGCCTTTCAAGTTTTCCTACACCTTTCCATCCATGCAAATTCTGGAGTAGCTCTGGAGTAGCCATAAGATACACAAATGCGAGTACGGGCGAGGAAAATGAGCCGAAAATCAGTGTCGTGGGTGTGGAATGAGGGTAGCTGCATGCAACTAGAGTGAGATTTGAACTGCGGGAGATCGCAAAACCCTGCACACTTATATCCACGGTCGAAAAAATGTTGTTGTGTTCTTGCTTGACCTTTGTTTCTGGAAAACTGGCTGAGAATGCTCCTTAAGATGATGCGTTGTCTTCTCTGATTTGAAAACCGCGCCTGGAATGTCCTTACCAAGCGTGACTCTAAACCCTTCCTCTCTAAAGATATAAAGTAAAGACAAACCCCAGTTTTCTAAATAAGCAAGCGCTTTTAAAGTTAAAAAGACCTTTACAAAACAAGCCAGATCGCGTTCTCTGTGGGCACGTAATTTGTTGAGGTCAGTAGTTCGTGGGTTTTATGCGTAGGTGTTGACTCGCATCTGGAAATCATTAGCTGGGTGATCTTGGCAAAACGTTGCAGCCTTGATTTAGTGTTTAAAGGGTAGGTTTGGGTAGTCATTTGGCAGATGAATTGAACAAGTAAAAGTTTCTCTTTATTTAAATTGTGCTCGACGCGGACGACAGCTACCATTCAGTGTTTTGGCGACCAGATACAGTTCCCATTTCATTACCCACCGCCAAATATGCAACCGATGGGATGGGGATTCTCAAATTGATAATGATGATAATCCCTCAATGCTTCCCTTGTATCGTTAGGCATATTTCCAGGCATTTTTGAGTAGACAAAGTTACAACTAGGTAGATTTGCTTGTCATAATTATGATTCAGTCAGCCCCTGTCGCAAGGAGGAATGGCATAGTAACTGTAAGCGTCTAGTAGGGATGTTTTTTTTCTGCTGTTCATGCCGTCGGCTTAATCAATTGCATCATCACCAGCATGCCACTGCCGCTTTTCCCGACAATCCGCCTACTCCGCACCTATCGATTTTTCCCCACTACGTCTCACGCTCCTATTGGCTCATTGGCGGTATTGCGTGGCGCGTATTCGGGTATCCCTTGACACTTTCCAGTCATCTCTTCTAGCCTTAAAAAAATACTGAGTGGCTTTTTTAGCCTGTTTGTGGTAATTGGCATCAACTTTGGGGTTTTACGCTTTTCAGAATGGATAAAAGAGTCTTTCCTCCATCAAAATTGGTCGGTGATAGCTGCCTTTGGAATTTCCTATTTTTTTTCTCTGCATCAGCGTAGAAAGAAAATATGCAAAATGCGCGTGAGAATCAGTTTATCTCGGTGCTCACACAGAGACGCGTAGTTGAGATCTAGTGAGGTTGTCAACTTCCAATTCTACGAGTTGCAGTGCAATCCTGAATCTCGTAACGTGCAATCAAGGGGCTAAAAATTGCTGCTTTTTCAAATGCAGAACAATAAGAGGTGATAATTGTTTTCAGAGATTTTGTGTGGCCAAGATTAAATGCCCCCACACAGCCCAGGGCTTTTGACACTGTGAGATCAAAAGTAGTGGCGCGAAAATGTGAATTTTACCCCTCAATCTCCTATCACCTTTGGGTACTTATTTGCTGTTATTTCATCCATTCATTGTGTTTGCCGAGGTAGTAATACCCGGTGTCTTGGATTGACCCACCGTGGCAAATCACGATGGTTATGGAAAAGCCTACAAATCTCTTGGTGGTTCGACCGGTGACTGCAAAAGCTAATTATCTCTGAGACGGTAGTCTACCAGTTTCGTCGAAAATGAATATACAACAAATGTTGCATCCACGGGCAGATATTCGGCCTGGTAAAATCATTCACTTGGTGACTAATTTGTGGCTCTTTCTTCTACAGCGAAAAATCCCGTTGGCTCAATCGAGGCGGTTGGATAAGCTCTTTTTGGCAGGGGAAAAAGGGATTTTAGACTCTAAGGTTCATAAGTTTTTCTTCGGGTGATTAAAAGGTACCACCGTGCTTAATCTGCCATGGTTTGTTTACAGTCCGATAAGACCGTACGCGGTATCCGGGGTGCATTTCTTCCATCATTAAGCAGAGTTTCGGGTCTGCAACGAAAACCGCCGTCTCACAGCATCCACCCCTTTCTTACATCGTGCAAATTTGCATAGGAAGGTTGAAAACGCGCATCTTTATGGGGCAGTGAATTAGCTGGTCGAAGATTCTGTGGCATTTCTCTTACCACATATGATTTCTGTCCACTTTTTTCCTCTCTCCCCAGGGCTATTACCTCCCCCTACTCGCGGAGGGCAAATTCGATGCTACCACCCTGGACACCGTCTTCAACAACATCATCCAACTGCATGCATTCCACCAGTAAGTCGTTCATTAGTCGAGCTCAGGGTCATTGCTGGAACTTGCCATAACCACTTCCGGTGCTCTAATTGCAATGAACACAAAGCTAAATGTCAAAAAGACCAGTTAATGGACTGAGAAACACCACGCTAACGTCGTCCGTTTTTTAGAACCAGTGATAAGGTAATAAATTGATTTAGAAGCATCTCTAGCCTTCTTTGAGGCTGTAAGATGGAGGAATAGGTTGTTGTGGATAGTCCGCAGAAGAACTAGCAAGGGTCTGATCCACGGAGACTAAATGCTCCGCTTAGTTAAGTAGGCAGTATGTATCTCGTTTGTCAAAGAATTTGAATCTGAACTTCCTAGTTTCTGTTATTTCACCGAAATTCGGAAGGCATGGTCGAATGGCGAACCAGCTGACCTTGACAATGAGCCTACTCTTACCACTGGGGTCAGCGCGCTCGTCCGAGACTTCACCGATTTAAGCGATATCTAGTTCGGTCATCTCATCGCTCGATGCACATTTGCTGGAGGGCATTCTTCCACTCACTTCGGGCATTTTGACATTTTCAGGGTAAATTCGAATCCAAAAGTAGTCTTTTCATTTTTCAACACAGAACCTTCTCAGGTGAGCTGTATCGGAATCAGGAGAATCTTGTTGGCCTGGCCGATGTGTTCCTGGAGCACGCAGTCGATTTTGAAGGACTTTACGTGGAGTTTTGTACAGAACATTCCCTGTGAGTTGATGCACCCCTTTTTTGTTACCTTTTGCAAGTTTCCCCAAACCCCCTTAATTACTCTGGCCTTCCAAATTCGAAGCTTGTAGGGTTTTGAGTTGGGTTCGAGTTACCGGTGTTCCGATAATACCTTCCCCTTCATCGGGTGTGTTCCTGGCACATTCATAGTTTCACTTGCAATTCGAGGTGCTTCACCATCAATGCGGATCGAGAGGGCGCTGTGAGTAATGCAGAGTCAAGTTGAACATCATAGAAACGGGATTCCAGTGCACCTCTTGTTCGCAGCACGGCTAGAACGTCACTCCCAGGACAACATTTTTGACCCCTTTACCAGTGGGGAGGGAAATAGGGTAAAATGCCCCGTGACTCATCCCTCCAGATCTGTAACTGGCACCCGTCTGACAGCTTTCATGTCTGCGTGTGTCAAAATCGCGACAATTCCCGCCCACACATCTCCCCAAGTTAGCGCATATGAAGCCCACTAGCCGTTTCCAACTGTGGCAATTTTACGAAATCCAAAAACTCCGCAGATTCAGTACGATAGTCTGCACGGTTTACTGGTTTGCAATCGCCATCTTAAATAAGTATTCTACAACTGCTGATTAATGGGAGCTTCGAATGCGTCATCACTCTTGGGGATAACTTGGTCTCAAATGTTATTCAGCGTCTGTCCAGAGGTACGGACTTCCCCTCCGATGTTACTAGGTACTTGAAATTGTAGGAGATATGCACTCCATGGGCCAATGCCCGTCAATGTGTTAATTAACTTATTTGGGTGTCGAATACCGCCTGAAGGCTACTGGATAGGGAGATCAGTACAGCCTCCTCCATTTCGAAAACTTTGAAGGCGACTGGTGATCCGTTTTGGGAGGAGATAGCCAGCATTTGTTCCATTGGCTGACCACAGTGTATAATGGAGCAGTTGTTTTGCTGGAGACTAGCAACATCACCTATTTACCATCCTCTTTAGGGATTTTCCAGTCACCGACATTATAATTTCCCGTCTTAATTACCAACCATTTAACGCAGTGCTGCAGGCTACTGGGGGAATTTTGTCTCGAGGGTGTCTGGTCAGTAGTGTGTGTGTGTGGGCAAAATTTCGGTGGTCGAATTTGACCCAGAAGTGCAGGTAACCAGGTAGTTCAGTTGATTCATTCGACCCACAGTGCGTTTGGGTCTGTGCGCACACGCGTCTGACACGATCCGTTAAGTTAGAGGAGGTGATATGGGAATAGGGATGGAACTTAAGGTTGGATAAGGGTCCTGCTGTCTTGCTGCCCTTTCCTACTTCCCATTCGTCCATTTCACAGCTTTTCATGATGTTTGTCCTCCTCACCCTGATGCACATGATGAGTCGGTGCCATAAAACCGCCTTGAAGGGGTCAGTTTCAAGCAGATTCAGTGGGTGTTCCAGGTGGACATTGGCACTCCTTCAGCCCCCTCAGCACTACAAAGGATCACTATAGCCACTAGTTCAAGACGCGTCAAACGCACTCGCTGATGCCTCGTTCTCCTGAAATTGCAGTACCTGCTTCCTCCATCTGAAATAGCGCTCTGAGTTAATGGAGTCAAATTGCCAGAAATGGATCCCTGTCGACCCCTTGGTTGCCCTAGGTCCATTCGCCGATTCTAAGGGAGCTTCTGCTGCTTGGAGGTGGGAAAAGCATTGCACAAATACGCACCATTGGCAGATTTGAGGGAAGAAAGGTGTGTATATCCGTCCGTCAAAATCCACTGGCTTCAGGTATGCTGGATTGCAAGCTTCGTTCGCATTCCAACCATCCATTCACTTATTCACTTACCTATTTGCTTCGTGCAATTCCATCATGTTCTCTTTTGCATTGGCTGAAAACCGCCGCATTTGAAGTTTACTAACCCGAGATCGACATCCTATTTTCTGAAGGAGTATTGGCACACCCCTTAATTTGTATCGCTACAGGTAGGCTCGAAAATAGCCACATTCGTTTTCGCGCACCCTTCGGAGAACGCCTAGGTCCACTTCTCCCTTCGGGACATCGAACACGTGAAACACCTGCCTTCATCTTCCATCCTTTTCCCTCACCAACGGTCCACTAGATTCCACTGGCAAAGTCCAGTGACGCCGGGGGAGGCTCGTCTTCCTCCTGCAACCAATGCCCCGGAATGAATTCCTTTCGGCTGCAGTGCCCTCATATACCATTACTACGTCGTGCAACATATTTCGGAATAACTCGGGCTTTGTATCACTTTCAGTCAATAGGGTGGGATGTGGCAAACAGCCGTTGCTCCTTCTCAAGACAGTAGAAAGTGCGACGGAGGAACATTTGCTGTGGCCGCCGGAAGAGGGTGAGAGCGAGACCGACAGGGAGGGAGCGCCTGATTGTTGTGTACTATCTGGTGCAGAAAGACTGTCGTGGTGGCAAATCAAGGCTTATAGATGAGCCTTGAAACTAGCAGCGATTCTCATTCGCGACTGACTGCAGGACTCACACAAATGCTTCTGAAGGGACCATTTTCATCTCCAAGTGAAGGTATGCTAAGCTGTAGGGAAGTGAGAACATCCTGCAGAACTTGTAGCTTCTCACGTTTCATTTCGGTGCGTTCGCTACCGATGCCGCACACATGTGACACAGGTCCTTAATTTGAATGATAGCTAGCTGCAACAAGTGGTGCGGCAAAGGGATTGCCTGGATTCTAACCGATGGCAAAATAGATGTAGTTAACTCCCGGTCTGAGCACAGCTGCGCCCTTTCTTGTTTACGGGTCACCGTTGAATTGGTCAAAATCACGTTGGAACTATAAACATTTTCGGTGTGGTGGTCGGGTCTCCTCTGAGACTTGTAGCGAAGGAAGTAATGATGCCCATATCAGAAGTGTCAAAAGAGCCTCTTATCAGTTACTTCTACTCCTAGTAAAATGTGTTTACGAATTGTGAACGAGAGAACTAGACTGACCACAACGCAGTGTTGATTACTAGGCTTCACCTCCCGTTTACATCGCCGAAGGTAATTCATCCCTCAGAGACCGAATATACTCTTGCTTTGATGCAACATTTCACTTCATCATCTTTGTTACTCACAGGTGGTCTAGGTGGGTCCAACTGCGCCTGATTTGGTTGGTTTGTTGTAACAACAGGCTGCGTTCACCTGAGTTTACCTTTCCCTAAAATAAGTCGTTTCCACCGTGGCGCGAACATGCAGTCTACGTGCCCAGAGTTTGCGCCTCGTCCACGTCTTCAAGAAGATGTTCTCCAAGACTTCTGTCCTTTTTATCATCAGCAATCTTGTCTAAGCACACGTCAAGATTTCCAAATCAAACGGTATAGTCCGAATTTCCAGTTCTCTGGTGCTTCCCCAAGTATTCACGGATTATCACAACTTGTGACAGCATTGAAAATAACTCCGGTGTTCCTGGTTGTAACAAATATTACTTTGTTTTCATACACAGACAGCTCGACTAACCATGGTGTGCCGACTGCACGGTCCAGTCTGCGATGTGCCTGAGTCACACTGCACGCCGTAAAAGTGCCAACAAGGGAGGCCGAGGTGCACAATGCCGACCATGCCTGATGGTCTCGTCTCTCACTTCTCTCCACTCCCTTCACCCTAGCAAGCTTTTAATCGCCAGAACAGAGGGCAATGAGGCTAGGTTACAAGCCAAACAGGCAAGATTAGAGGAGGCTAGTGGAGGGAGGAAGGAAAGGCCTATCACTGGAGTCGTTGTTGCTACCGGCCACGAGGATGTAAGAGTGCCACAGAGGCGCAATAGATGGTCTATATGAGTCTCGCATGTTTGATGGAAGCCCTGTTAAAAATAAACTTCCGGGAACCTATGGCTGAAAGTAATACTGTAGCGACCTGGGACCTCTCTGAAGACGAAAGAGGGCACAATACTAGGGCAGAGTACGTATTATCAACGTGCAGAAGGGTTTGTGGGGCTACCGGCATGACCCGAAGGCCATGCCGCCCTTGTAACCGCCGCGGAGAGTCAAACAAATAGCCAACGTATTTCACAAACCCTCTTCCCTTTTGAGCGTCGTCCTCGATGCCTTTCTTGGTCAACTATCTGCGTCTTCCATCACAATGCGGCCCGTGCTGTAAGAAAAACATCCGCGAACCAGCCCCATTAGTCATTCAAATTGCGTGCAACTGAGACGATAGCTGACTCCAGCGTCACTGCCCCCTTTATGCAATTTTACTGGATCTGGCGTTTCTTCCTGTGTGGAAACCGTATTGGCGAAAGGGGTGAGTGTGTGGCCATCTCGCATGATCATCGGTAGTCGTAAGAACACAGGCCTGAAAGCAGTTATTTAAAAAATGACGAAGTTCCAAATGATTTCGTCCCAGTTCAGTGGTGTCCAACCATGTCCATCTGGATTCTGTCCAGCTAGTATTGAGGTGGAAGAAGTATCGCGTGTTTATACAGACATCGCAGATAGCTCTGTAACGAACTACCCCAGATGGTTCACGGCCGCGGCTGGTGCCACTTCAGTTGTTAATAGCATCCCTGAAGAACACGAAACTGGTGTAGTTGCCGGAGGTCGACGTCGTTCTCGACCCTTCTATTAGGGAGTGGTCACAGCTTTTCCGTCACGCCGCGTTTTATCATCCAGCAGTTGAAATCAGGACAGTTTTCTTATAGCTCAGGTTCGCTTTCCGCTGTCACCAGTGCAGCGGCCCGAGTCTTTCCTGTAGTAGTAAGAAGACATAATGCTAGGAACCTGAAAACCACACTGGTGAAGGAAAATACAATGTCGGGGCCATTCATTGCCTGTGTAACTAAAGCGAGGCGACAAATAGACAATTATGGTATTCGTATACATCATATATCTAATAGCTGAGGGGAAAGACATCAATGTGGAGACAAAGTAATAGCTTGAATTTTGCATTAACTGACCAGTCAAAAGTGAAGGATGGAAATAAGTTATGCCGCCCGCTGTACTGGCTGTGAGGACACGCGGTGGCAATTAGGGGCTTGTCTTTTCTTTCGCCTTGTTTATAAGGCACCACGCCTTCTGTCTCGCCACGCGTGTCGAAGACTGCGGTGGCTGGACAGGAAATAAATGGCTTCACGATTCCGTTACAGAGGCTGTGGAATTTGCGAATCCACTAAGGGGCTGCCCCACATTTTATGGGCGGATTGTTTCTGGGCTATGAAACTGCCACTGCAGTCGATGTCCTGGAAGGTGTGTCATCGTCTGCATTCCATAGCTAGGGAGGTAACTGGAACAAATTCGGAATTGTAAGGGAGTCGATGTCACTGCTTTGCTGTCGGATCGTATCAACCACGTCGTCTAGAAAAGCAGCCTGTGGTTTTAAAGGAACGAAAAGCCTAATTTGTAACATTCATCACCTTTAAGCGAAATCGACAAATGATGGGAAGCTTCTTCATGCGTTCCGCTTTACAGTGTCGAAAGGAGAACCTTACAAATGTTTTCACATAGAGCGTAAAGTGTTCTTCTCGGACTGTTTCATGTGTGAACCCTGCAGTCATGAATAAGACCCAGTGTAGCGAGTGAAATTGAGAGCGAAAGTGATGCGACGCTCGAGTTATTCCAGAAGACGTTGCACGATGTAGAAGAAGTGCTATTGGAGTGCACCATATCGGGGGGAAATACGTTCGGGGATATCGATTGCAGCGGAATGAGGAAGCTACCATGGAACCGCTGGACTTTGCCAGTGAAATTTATTGGATGGTTGGTAGGGGGAGGAGATGAAAAAGTGAAGGTAGTTGTTTCACGCGTTTGATGTTCTGAGGTGAAGCCATCGGCTAGCCGTCCGTATTTCGAAGTGAACTTAGAAGCACTCTAATGGGAATGCAAGAACAAATGTGGTCATTTTCAAACCTGACTGTGAGTTCATGAGTTTTTGGCATAGCAGTGATGTGAATTAAGGGGTGCGGCAGCACCTTTCCAGATAATCGGATTCCAAACTCTAATTAGAAAATTTATATGGGGTGGTTCTCAGTCACTGTGACACGGAATATGATAGAGTTCCACACAACGGCCGGGTAGGTGGCCAGGTGGATTTATATACCTCTCTTCCATCCGATCTTCCAACAGTGAGTGTTTGTGCGTCAAAGGCACGGTTAATGAGCACGCAGAAGAGGTGTTTTTCAAACCTCTGCGCATCAGAAGTTCCCTTTAGCATGGGCTAATGGACCCATTTCTGACAAATTGCCGCCTTTGGCTTGGAGTACAAGTTTGGATGGAGGAAGCGGGCGCTGTAATTTTAGGGGACGAAGCATCAACGCATTTTTACTTGACGCGCCTGTGACCGGCAACTATAGTGGTTCTTATGTGGTAGTCTACAATATGGAACTCAGTGTGGCATATTGTCCCCCTTGCGACAGTTGGATGCCGTCGACTCGTCATGTGCGTTGAAGTGAAGAGAACAAAAGTATGGGCTTATGGGAAGTGGAAAGGGGCATCGGGGTTCTGACTCGTTCCCAGGCTCCACCCCCATCTTCATTCCCACATCACCTCACCTCTTCTGACCTAACGGGTCGTGTCACTAATGCGAGCGCAGCTAGACGCATGTACACACAGACGTGAATGCCTCGCTGTAGGCCGAGTGACTCAGCTGAATCAGCCGATTGCCTGCATTTCTGGGTCAAATTTGACCGTCAGAAATTCACTCTCTCACACTCCTGAAGCAAAATTCTCCCTGTAGCCTACAATCTTACATGTGTAATAAGTGAACGTACTCTTAACTGTTCACAAAAGGCATGAAATCCTATTTTAACTAACCAGAATTCGGACTTTGTTTACGTGGTACGGAATTTCCAATGAAGTAATCTGCAGATAATGAGCTTTCACCAAATAGCGTAACCTGTCGTCGCGTCCTCTACTCATTTGATAGATATCGAATGCTACCACCGACAAGTTGGGGCACAGAATCAGCTTTAAAGAGTGGTACCGATTAAACGTTAAGCAGTAAGTGCGTTTAACTACGAAATGGAAGCCGAACACCACGAAAACTCAAATCAGGTCCAAACGGCCTGAACATCCCTATTTGGGAACAACCAGTGTCTTGCACCTGCTACCGCTCGGAATTGCTTGAGGTTACTCTCCATGCAGAATTTGGAGCAAATCCGCTCACACACCTGAAGTTCTACGTGGATGTGGATGTTATGCTAGACGGGTATCAATCGAGGGCTGAAGAGGAGTGACTCATAGCACGCTCTACCTCAACTGCAAGAAGGCAGGATGTCTTATTTTGTTTGTGGAATTCACTTTTCTAAAGAACATCCGGCGCAAAATGGCTATTCCTGGGATGCAATCCAGAAGTAAGGGTGATCTATTGGTATGCTCCGTCCTTGGTCTAGATCCATTCAGACGCTGGAACACGAGAGTCTTTTGCACACAGAGCTGTGGGCTTCCATTCTCGCCTGTCAAACCCGCCTCGGACACCTCCTTCCCCTGGCCTCTTATCTGTTAAAACCGGTCCAACGCGTCCTCAAGTATCAGCTTCTTCTTCAGGTAAGCGAATAAAAGTCCTTGCAGTCGAATTCTGGCAGCTCCACACGGTACGATTGTGTGTTAGACTAAAGTTTTGGTTGCCATCAGGTTCCAGGACTAGAAGGATCTGGATTCAAGAATGCTGATCAGTAGTAATTCCACTTTTAGGAGCTTGTCAAAGGCTGCACATTAGCTGGGCTGGGTCAGAATCAGAGCATCTTCAACGGGGATCCCAACTTCGTTGTTAAACACCTTCAAAGCGCCCTTGAACGCATGATTCAAGTGGCCACCCACATAAACGAAGCAAAGCGCCGCCATGAGCTCATTGGTCAGTTGCGAGCCAGTGGCTTTGACGTCGATCAATGGGGTTGCCTCCTACTGCGTGATGTCTTTCGATTGCCCGCCAAAAAACACGCTTGCCGATTGGTCCTTCTCTTCGAACGGGCCATCCTGTTGGCCAAGAAGTTCTACGCGGGGAACAATTCCGCACCTAATCTCAAGGACTTACAATCATCTTCTGGAGAGGGGTTACAGTCCGTCCTGGAGATCCGTGATATCATCAGTGTATGTACTCTCTTTCAATCTAAATATCATTTTTACTAGTTTTTATTTAAGTAAAATTTACTGTTTGATTTATTTTTAGTGTAACAACCTAATGCTGATCGAGTGCATTGACAAGGATCCGCTGGCCTTCCATATTCTTCCCTTCAACAATCCAAACGCTCAAAAGACACTGCAAGCAGCGAGCGCGGATGTGAAGCATCTTTGGTGTCGGGAGATAAAGAGGGTGATTTTGGAGAATTTTGATGCTGCAATTCCGGAGAAAGCAAAACATCTGATGCTCCACATGGAGGATATCTGCCCTCGCCCCAAATTATCGGATACCAGCAGCCAAGTGGGATTGCACTCAATTGACGAATCCGAGGAGGAACATGCTCCCCGAAGAAAAGGATCCAGTGTCCTGACTGGTGAGTGAACGGCGAAAATATGGTTTCGATGTAGATATAACGATAAGGACATTGATCATCAACATATTGGTTGACTGTAAGCCGGCTTTTGCACCGTTTCAACGTAGCAACTTTCTCTAATCCCCTCTCCTTCTACAGCTATCTTCAAACGTCGCAGTCGTATCGCGAGATCCTCCTCTGCGAAGCTGCAGGTAAGTGAAAACACCCCGCCTCCCCCTTCCGCAACACTCAACGACAGCGATGGGAGTGACAACCCCCGTGATGGCAGTGAGGCGGACGTGGATGATGCAGACCACGTGGCGCTCGTGCAGGACGCGTGGAATGCGTTGATGGCAAAACACTCCTCCTCCACCACCGCCGCCGCCGCCGCCACCCCGACCACCACTGTCACTCCTCTCTTTTCAACCACTCCTACTGCATTAGACAAGCAACAGGAAGTGAATGGCGTGGAAGAGGAGGATGAGGAGGATTTTCGGTGCATCGCGGTGGAGATAAATGAGGAACGGTTTGCGGTTGACTTGGTTCAACCTCAAAAAGTGTCCGAATTTAAACCGATCTCACCCCCAAAAGGTATGCTAGTTACATAAATGTTGATGTTGATTGTGCTATACCAGTCTACTTATTTCATCTAACAGTAGTATCCTCCCCACAGTTTGGCAGAACGGTTTAGCACACACCCTCACCGGCGCCTCAATCTACATTGAGTGTCAGGAAGCCTCACAATACGACACTGTGACCTTCGGTCGTGCCTATGAACAGTACATCGCCAAGACTCGTTCCATGGCTACCCTATCACCAGGGGAAGTGGATGAGATCCTTCGACCACTGCTCACCCTCACGGAAGACCACAGTCACCACATCGGGCCCTGTGCCAGTGGAAAAGCGATGACTTTGAACGGGGAAGCTGATGACAATCGAATGCCTACTCTGGCAAGCAGTGAAGACTGTTCAGGTGCTTCATCCTCCACTTCTTGCGCCTCGCCAATGTCTGTCTGCCAACTTGTCAGTCGCATTGGGATTGATTCGTCCACCAACAACACTAATAGTGGTGCTGACGGTGGTAGTGATCGAGTAACAGCTGTGAGTCTGATCATCCGATGAAGACGGTTTCTTTGCATTGTTTTACCTGCGGGATGGACACTCTTCAAACCAGCGTACTTATGGATAGAATTGAGGGATTGAAACACTTTTTCTTATTCTAGTCGATCCTTGGAAAGGCATACCGACCTTCCCCATCGCGTGTGGCGACCCAATCCTCTGTCGCCAAGGCGACCCCTCGACCCTCGACTGCATCCCCCATTGCGCGGAACGACTCCGCGAAATCACCCGCGGTGCGTAAGTACAGTGCTCCCCAAGTGTCTACGAGGATGCAACACTCCAAGCCGCCGAGAAATCTTGGACTGTCGAGACTGGATACCACGCCTTCCCTGAGGTTGGTCGTGAAAGTGTTCAAGGGTTTGCTAGCTGTTCCCGTAGCTTTCTAAGCGCTTTTCGGATGTTTTCTAGGTCGAACCAACTGACGAATGGGTCTGGAGTCAAGACAGCTTCTCGAGCGAATGGTTAGTATTGATTTTCTGCCTGAAAACTGACAATCTATGGCAAGCATAAGTTTCCTTTTGTTGCCACCTTATACACGGAGTCGGTTGGCAGCGCTACATGACTGATTTTCTCACCCAAAGTTCTACGACTCAAACGGCCTAATCACTAATCCCCGTTCACTACCTATCAAATTTGGGGGAGGAGGGAGGAATGCATGTCAATTACTCCTAAGAGAATATTTGAGGGGTCTGCTATCCTGTGTTCCTATAGGTACAACAGCGCTACCCTCGAAATTACCTCCAAATTCAACGGTGACATTAGCTAACGCCCACAACGAGGAAGCCGCTTCCCTGTGCCAAGGTCGTTTTCGTGCTGCGGTGGCGAATTTGAGACCCTTTGGAGGTCAAGGTGCCTCTATCGCCACTAGCACAGCCTCGACTAGGCCAAGTAAACCGCCACGCAGGTCTTGGTCCTCCACAAAGACTACAAGTGAGTGCAAAGGTGGATGTGGACGGGCGAGAACTTCAACGTCTTCAACATCACTCGTGATGTCGTCAGTGTCAACCATGACCTCCACCGTGGTCGGAGGCCAAGGTCATGTGAAGCACCTCATTGACCGCTTCCAAAACAATTGATTATCCTTTGATCTGAATTTATTCACCATTTCCCACCACGATGAGTGAGATTTGCGTGTACTCCTGCTGCTCTTTCCTGTCAGAAGGGACTGCACGCGTGTGTGCACCCCTTTAAAAACTGACGTGGCGTAGAGACTGCCCATGACATGCAAAGCAAGTAGGTCGATGGTGACAAGCTACGTTCCACTCACTTTGTTCTCAAATCCATACCTTTAATACAATGTGAAATAGCAATACCTTCTCTACAATATCCTTTACTTTCCTGGGATAATGTAGATTCAAGGGGTTGAAGGTGTGCCCACCAGGTGGTGGTTATTTTCGAAAGACATTTGAAGGGGAATTTTTCATTGGGTCCCTCGACAGTGGCACCCATGTTCGACAATGGAGCGATTCCTCGATCCAGATGGTGACAGGCTTTCACGAGTCGGAAACGTCAGAATTAGGAGATTTGAGATGACGCTGCAGCTGTGCCGGGTACCGCTGAAAACAACGGCGGTTGAGGCAGTAGATCCAATTAGTAGGAGGCCACTGAACTTATCTTGTCAGACATGAGGTAGCTGAGGACATCGCATCACCTTCTACTACACTTTTTGGAAGCCATTTTCTGGCCGGAGGGAACGTGTTGGCTTCACCTTAAACGCGATGGCCTTGCCGTCGGTTCAGCCAAGTCAGAAGTAAATAATACTAGCAGTGATGAGCTACATTTGGGCTGTCAAAAAAAAATCACAAAAATCTTAGGAAGTGGCTATTGAGACGCGCTGTGGGTTCACTCATAGCTCTTCTCATCTTCAAGAGTGAAAATGCCTCATGAAACGAAACCTCCCCTTAAGGTCACAGCCCCAATGAAATTTAAAAGTCTGCTTCAAAAGATATCCCCGATAGCACTGACAGTTGAGGCATCGGATTCAATTAGGAGGCCCCTAATGTGTCTTATCAGTCAAGGGGAGGTTGGGGACAACGTCCCACCTCCCACTACGCTTAAATGGGGGCCGAACTACTCCGATGAATTTCCATCAATTCAATCGAGTCACAACTAGGTAAGATTGTCACGACAAGCTTTATTTGAGCTGTCAGAAGACCGCGAAAACTCCGGAAAATGGTCATCGAGGTGCACTGTGGCTTCTCAGAGCCAAAATGCCCTATGGAGCGGAAGTCTACAGGCTTGTTTGCTTCAGAGGAAAGTGTTGAATCGATCACGGCTAAAATTCTTCTTGGCTTTGCTCAATTTTGAAAACGTTTGCAAGACCGGCTTTAAAGGTCACACTTAGGAGAGTGAAAATTACATTTGTTTCTCGGCCTACTCGTCCACTATGATCGTACACTTATCCCAACATTCACTGTCTAGGATTCGTAGGAGAAAGGTCTGCCAACACAGCTTAACCATCCTTGGATGACCCGCTTCACTTCGTCATCCCATTCTTCAGTGGTGGTCACATGCGGAAAGTGGTCTTCATGCCCCACCTTCACCGTTCACACGGAAGCTTTTGTCCCATGTGCAAGACTATAAGTTATGTGGCGTTCAGGTGATTCATGCACGGACTGAAGGCACGAAAACGAATACCAAGACTTTGGGCGGATAATCACCACAAAAGCGATCGTCATTGACAGACGCACGGTGGATTATGCTCAAAGCGCTTCCATCGCTTAAAAGTCTTGCTGCTGAGCATCAGACCGTCGTACCGTAGCGGCGTGTACCTGAATTCTTCTGCAGACGTATGTAGGTACTCGTGCCTTCGGGGTCCACGCCTTCGTTCGCCATGCGCAGTTGAAAGGCGCTACCACTCTTGCTCACCGTCTTGATTAGCCGAATTGGGTGGAACAGGTCGCGTGTAGCATCTTCACGGAAGGGCCCCCTTTTCTTCGGTTGCAAATCAAGTCTCAATTTGACTTGATTGCCCATCGCAAAAAGCGCAGAACCGAAACGCTTATGAAGCAGACTTTCGTAGTGACATCAAATGACACTTAGTTTCTATATTTGAAGCTGGATAAAATCTGGACCTCATCTCAATTCGGCTACATAACCACGGAACATGCTCTCTCTCTCTCTCATGGATAAATGAAAGATGATATAAAAGAAGTGTGCTCGTCAGCATCGCACGATTTCTGCATTGAAAAAGGAAGAAGAGGGATAGAGGGAAGTGGGATTGAAGGAGGCCAACGAGAAGTGTGAAAAGGCAAATGAATTTGAAGTTTTTGGCTCAGACGAAATTCACTTTGTTGAGTAGGGAACTGACAGTGATCGTGTCGACGGTAGCCATTTGAGTTGGTGTGGTTAGACAACTTGTCTGTCCGTCAAGACGCGGCATATTGAACTGATTTTCCCCTTTGCGAGGGCCTGAAAAGGGAATAGCGGATAGAGGTGCCACATGCTGTGCATTAAGGGATGACAAAAGAATATCACCTTGTTGTAATTCACACCTTTTGGGTAGGCTAGATTGCTGACCGACTGGCTGACATGTAATGCGTAGTGACTCTTGTGTTACAGCGTTCGTAAGTGGGACAGACATATTGCTGGTCATGCCCAAACGGTTTATTCACTACCCACCCTAAAGGTCTAAGATACCACTTCATCTATACAAGGCTAACTTTGTGTGTTTGTGTTGCACTTTAGACAAAAGTATTCACCGCGACCTTCTCACTTAAGGTCAAACAGTCACAACTGAGGTCTATCCACTAGGTGCCACTCGAGGGTGTGCAAGGGTAACTGCTTTTTCTGCAGGAATAGTGAGAAGTAGTCAATTAGTCGGGACAAAGTCATATTCCGAGTTTACAAGACTACACAAGGCCTGTATCTACGTGGTTAAAAGGACATAAACGAACGGCATTTTCAAAGTATCTAGAGAAGTTAATGAAATACAAAAGCTAGGTGCGGGAAGAGTTAGGAAGCGGAATTCTCCGCTTATTTTGCCCAGAAATAAAGTCAAGTTAATCCAGTTTATAGATTCTGTCTAAGGAGCTGGATCCCTCCAAATGAGGTGAGAAAGTGTGCAAAGTCCGCAAAGACTAATAAACGAAAAAAGATGATCTGAGCAAACCTTCTCGTGCCAGACAAGTAACGCAGGGTAGGTGATATCGACGGGTTTCTGAAAGCCGCGGTAGATGTACTTCATCAGCATGTCTAACTGCTCCTGATTTAAACTATTCACGAAGGCGTCAACTTGGTTACTGCGTATCGATGACATGGCACGCAGAATCAGTGCCGAGACAGCATCCTTAAGACCCGCGTCCTTCGAGTTCACTGGCGCGTTGTCTAACACCATTCGCAAGGCCTCTTCGTATTTCCCACTGGGTGAAAAAGAGCAAACACATGTAAATAAATGACAGAGATATAAAAGAAACAAGCAAGCACTCACAACTCCATACATCTGCATTGCTCTGAGCCCAAAAAACTAATGCACAAACTTATACCACTGAAATGGGACAGATATTCGGGTCGCAACTGTCACACTTCTCCCATTTGGCACAAAACAATAAATTAACCAAGGCCCTGCGAACGCCCTCTTTACACATGTACGCTGCTGATGATACTATGCTTTCGTACTTTCGTAGGATAATAGGCATACCCCAATGTAATTTGAGGCACATTTAATGAAAAGAGATATTAAAATGGTAGGTGTTTCTTGTTCTAGTACATTAGGAGATGAATATGTTGCATGAAAAGTTATTTTGGCGTTTGAAAGGAAGAAATTAAAACGCCTAATAAATGATTCGATAACAAATATGCTGGTAAGCGTATTGAAACGAGCCTTCCCTGTGTCCAAAAACTGAATTTGCCATAAAATATGCTATAAAGATAGAAAAGACAAGCTTAAAGCAAAAAAATTGGGTGAATCCAATGAAGTTTGGGGAAAAATACGGAAATGATGCATGAACATGACAATACCAATGCATAAAAAGCTTGCCTGCTAAGAAGACCTTCCACGTCTCGAGGATTTAAGTGGGTGTCATCAACAGTCTCCTCCTCAAAATTGCTTTGACTGAAGCTATCAACATCAAGCTTTCTGAAACGCGTATCTCCAGTATTCTTGGCCATTTATGTGAACTTCCTTACAGTTACACCGCGAACACTGATTAGTTGAGCACAATTTTGAAAATCGAGGTGGTTATCGGATTATTCAAACAATGTTCAATTTATTATTTCTAATCCGAGTGAGTTGTTTGCCACTTCTGGCTAATGAAGCAGTTTAAAAATATTAGTCAAACGATTCTGACTTTAAAGATGGGCAAAATTTAAGGGCTTTTGAGTAAGCATTAGGTACAAGGGGAAATGCAAAATCTGAGTTCCTAACAAGATGCTTGCAAAAGACTTGTTTTCTGGAATGCCGTTTTTTAACGATTCTATCGTGACTTCTGCACGTATAAGGTATTTAAATGAAAGTGCATTATATATGCTGTTCTTGCACTATTATAGTTGCATATTTTTATTGCAAGTATCAAAATTGACTTTTATAGCCGGCAATTTTAAAGCCATCCTCAGGATTGTACATAAAATGAGTTTCAAAATATCGGGAGAGGTCTAGGGTACCTTACCTGGAGCCCATTTTTTTCGCGTCTGGTTCATATTTGCATACTGAACAGACAGTCTTGAATACTTTGAGATAGTACGCCTCTAATTCCCCGATTTAATCCCTCCTCGGTTTGGTATTTCATTAAAATGACTACAACAAATTATGTTTGTCCACTGGACCTGCTTTATTAACATCAAAAGTTACTCTCAAAAAGCAGAACAAGAATTTTGGAATTTACTACAACTTTTATAAGAAGAATAACAATGCTAGGTCTCTATTGCAAACGGTGCAATCGGCCGCCTATCAACGCCTCACTTGATAGGGTTTAAGATGTGCTTAAAACTTTCGCCAGCATACACAGCGTGGTTGCCAAGTTCTTGCTCTATCCTCAGCAACTGGTTGTACTTGGCTAGGCGCTCGGAACGACACGGAGCCCCAGTTTTAATCTGCAAAGAGAGAGGTAGTGAGGAGTATTTCACCACTAGATGGAAGAGAAACGACTAGGCAAACTGAGAGGTGCACTAACAAGCAACCATGACAGATACTAGACAACTGAATAGATGGATTCGTGAAGAAGTAGGTGGAACTAGCTGAAGAGCTACTTAGCCCGATAGATACTTAAAACGATATGTAGTTATTTAGGTGTAGAGAAGATGGCCAGAACACGCCCTCTTACCTGTCCGACATTGAGACCGACGACAATATCCGCAATAGTGGAGTCCTCAGTCTCACCGGAGCGGTGGGAAACCATGACATTCCAGCCCTTCGATCGGGCCAGCTTCGTGGCCGCCAGAGCTTCCGTAAAGGTGCCGATTTGGTTCACCTTCAGCAGAAGGCAGTTGCATGCGCCCATGTCGATGGCTTTCTGCACCCGCTCCACGTTGGTAACCGTAAGATCGTCGCCGACGATCTGTCGAGCGCAGTAGAAGACAGCGGATAGATAGATCGGTATTTGGAAGTGTGAGTGAGTGGATAGATTACAGATAAGTAAGCAGTTTGATGGCAAAAGGTAGAGGTGTATGGATACCAGTTGGGCAAAGAAATAGGTGAGAGGTTGGACAGATCAGTCAGATGGCATACCAACGATCAGGAAGGCAGAAAGCCAGGTATGTCACAGATAGATAAAAGATAAGTAGTAAGATTGACGGATTGCGTTAAATGTAGGCGGGAGGGCTATATAACCAGCAGCCTAACCAATTTACTGGAGGACCAAACACTAATAATCTCCATAGCATATGATCATACCAACCTGAATTCGCGACTGCTTTGTGAAAATCATCCAGGGTTCCCAATCATCCTGATCAAAGGGATCTTCAATGCTGACAATGGGATACTTGGCAAGAAGTTCGTTATACAATGCCATCAGTCTCTCCGCAGTGATGTTATCTCCCGGATCCCGTTTGGCGTCCTTGAAACCCAAATTATACTTCCCATTCTCAAAGAGCTCCGAGGCCGCTACATCCATTCCAATGACTATTTTGCCACAATAATTCGCTGTAGCTATGGCCTCGGTGAGCAAATCCAGGGCTGTAGCAGTGAAACAACATAAATACTGAAGCAATCTAAGCGGATGGAATACAAATACAAGCCTCTACTACCTTCATGAGCTCCACTAACGTTGGGTGCGAAACCACCTTCATCACCCACGTTACAAGCATCAATACCGTATTTTCGACGGATTATATTTTTCAAGTGGTGGAATGTCTCTGCACCCATTCGCAAAGCCTCCCCGAAAGACTTAGCGCCAACTGGAAGGATCATGAACTCCTGCATGGGTAATTTGTTGCCCGCGTGCTTGCCACCGTTTATTACATTAAATGCGGGGACAGGAAGGGTCACCCTTGTCACCCCAGCCATGTTAGCCACATGACGGTAGAGAGGAATACGCTAAAAATTTTAAAATCGGGGAGTTAACAAAGGGATTGTGACGGGAAATCGAAAATCTTCATCGATCAATACCTGTTCGGCAGCACCGGCCTTGAGGACAGCCAATGAAACACCGAGAATGGCGTTGGCGCCTAAACGACCTTGAAAGAATGCACACAAGCGTACATTTAAGCTGATCTTATCCACTTTCTCTGCCCTGATTATGAAGAATATTTTATAAGGATGGTTTTTACCACACAAAATTTGTTAAAATCCCATCGAAATTGAGTAACAATGAAACAGCCTGGCGGCCACCATGAAAATGCGTTGAAACAGCAAATGAATGGGAGCACTGAGAGTTAAGGCTAGCCCGTCAACTGCCAACACAAAAAAGCAGTAGCCTACTTTTATTAGGAGTGCCATCGAGTTCGTTGACCATGAAGCTGTCAATTTCAGCCTGTTGAGTGACGAGGAGGTCCTTCTTCAGCAGTGCCGGTCCAATGATTTCGTTAATATTGCGCACCGCGTTTTTCACGCCGAGACCATTGAACTCCTGCGGATTGTTGTCACGCAACTCGCAGGCTTCGTGCAGACCAGTCGACGCGCCGCTTGGCACTGAGGCACGAAACAAACCTAGATATGATAAAATTGTAAAAGGTATCGCGTTTGTGTAGAAGGAGCTTTGAGAAGTTGGCTATCATGAGGATCGAGATTACCACTTGACTTAGTGTTAACACTCTTGGTAATTCCATGCCTTCTGGTTCATTGACAAGAGCAATCAGGATAAGGTGATGCCGCATTCGTTGGGTTACCGTTAGGAAGTTTGATTAAAACAAAACTAGTATCGGTGGTTTGAAGCACTATAATGCGATCAGTGGATAATAACAACCCATATTTCAAGTCACCAGCATGCCTACTTATAAAATCATAAGTAAGCGTCTAGCATTACAAAAGCTTCGCATTGGTTTGGCTGCCTATTTAGGCGCATTTGCGCTACACATCCAGAAAGTTACTCGCTCCTTTATGCCAAGCCAATGTCCGACCTAAAGGAGAGACATACAACAACCACTTTGTCCTCTAATCCCAACAAATGGAATGCTTAAGCGTTCCAGTTGAAGACAGAAAAAAGGAATAATGTGCACTCATGCAGCTATTTGTGAGGATACTAATTTTAATCAACATTTTAGCTTTAGTAAAAATAGGATGTAGAATTGTCTGGAGGGAGAACAGTGATGCATTTGCACATGCAATCATTCGCGGCTACTGCAAACATGCTTAGAAACACTGGGCTGGACAAGCACTGCATTTCAAATCAAAAAGTGGGAGCAATAGCAGGAGTACGCCTACTTATGTAACATTTAAGTAGCCAGGCAAGCTGCGCTCTTGCACTTACAAATTCGATGGTGAACCACCTTGAAACCAACTACTATACGGCTCCAAGACAAACTTGGTAGAAAATAAGAGTCGGGCATGCTTTGTTCCCCCCGCATCAACGGCGAACTCGCCTACGAGTAGCGAGATCCTAGAATGACAGGTGGCAGTTACTGCCACCTTCGAAGGACGTAAAGAACCCTCCCAGGTCTAAACCAGATCACTTTCAAAACATTTTGGTGGGAGTTAATTCAGCTTTCTCGAGCAGCAAAAAGAACATCAAATCAAAAATGAACGAGAGACCAAACCTCTGTATGTGATGACATCCACCTCCACGGTGGGATTACCCCGACTATCGAGAATCTGCCGCCCTAAAATTTTCAGCATCGCCATTCCCCCTTTTCTTGTGACATCAGATGGCCACTCAGGCAGGAAAAATTTTAAATACTATCGACCAGTCAGCTTGCAAAGCGGTGATTGGCCGATCGAGGGCGCAAGGAACGTTTGATGATCTATTCAAGAACCTTCCTGTTGCATCTACCCCACACTACGTAGAATAACTAATCACTTAACCCCTTATTCTATTGGAGTAAATGGAAGTCAAGCATGGAGCTCAAACAAGACAAATATGTATTTTCAACAACATAAAAAGTATTTATGCATTAACAACTTCTAATGCATTATTTACTTCTTGAAAAAGCTAATGAGCGTAGCTTGCCTCGTCTTCTTCGGCTTTGACCCCACCTGTATGAATCAGAAAAAGTACAAAAACCTAACAAGGTTAGGAAAAAAAGACCAAGAAGAGGGAACAAAGAGTGCAACTGCTTTACCCCTTTTGTTGCAGGAGGTGGGACAGCCTTGGGTTCGCTATTGGAGGGAATGGCTGGTTCAGGTCTCTCAGCAACATCTTCATTCACCTCTACGTTCTCCCAAATTTTCTCAGTAACTGGATTGAACATGCAATATTGTTAGTAAATTATTAACCCTTTTCATAGTAGTAATAAGAAATTATGCGATATCACATCAGCAACCACTAGATGCCATGGTGGGCACATGCTACTTATTTTACTTAAGTAAGGCGGGAGCGGACACACCCAAGAAACCGTCGTCGTCCACGAACGTCTTAGTAACCTGTCGTCTACGAGTATTGTGAGAAGGATCTGCAGCGGACGGTCGATCGGGTTTGACTCCCTTAGCTAGGGAAAGTTTGAAGGGTTCTTCATCCTCATCGACCTCTTCCCCATTCTCATCTCTTTTCATCTTACTCCTCTTCCCTTTTTCCACATCCTTTGTTGTCGACTTAGCGGCTTTCGATTTTTGTGGTGCTAAAGGAGAAATAACAAGGCACAGTAACAAAATAACAGTTCCGTTCAAGATTAACAAAGTGGGAATTGCTGATAAAACCTTGAGAGGGCAGGACATCGAGAATAAAACCTCTGCTCACATTTGTTATGCCTCCTAGATGTTGTGAGAGATTTGGTGGATGTAGAAGTGGGAGGAATTTTGCCTCTATTCTAAAAATAATAACCCAAACTGGGGATTAAAGACAAAAAAGTGCTTAAGAGGATGCAAAATACAAAATATCAAAAGAATATCCCACAAGACCAATACGAAATACCAGATAACATGGAAAGTGAATGAACCATAAGAACATCAACTTGAACACTCTAACGTTACATAATGTATAGGCAAGGATGGCCAAAATGACCTTTAAGACTTCCTTAACAGACTTCTCGTCCGAGGAGAACACGACTCGGCGTCGTTTCGTGTGAAGGTCTGTGGGAAAGGGATGAAAAGAGATATCAAATGGACTGCCAAAACACTAAGGCACTCGTTCGCGTGCTCATTTATTCACTCATTAGCTCCCTGCTTACACATTCATGCATTCATTCCCTTCAGCAAGCAATGCATTAATTTGCCCACCCACCACTTTGTCCATTCATCATGACAGAAAATGTGGCTAAAACATGCCCTCACTTTCATCGTCATATGTTTCATCCTCCTCTGAGTCAGCAAAGGGGTCGGGAATAGATTCCGGTTCCACTGGCGCCTTGTGAGGTTCACTGGAGAAGAATAAAAGGTGCCTAATAGACGAATTTTCTAAGTTTAAGAAGGATTGTAGGAGGAGTAACAGGTAATTTGACGTTTTTTCTATGAAAATGCTAGAGGTCGTCGATGACTTCCTGCCTTCCATGGGTGTTTAAAAAGGGAAATAAGTCACCTTTAAGCTCGAGAGAGATTCCATGATGAAGTGACCACTAGCTGAGAATTGAATATAAAATCATTTTACAAATTTTCGGCATTGGTGAGGCACGATAAAGAGAGCGGTATCATTTTCTCTAGCTCTTCACACTCCACTGATAATTTCCTGGCTTTAATAGATTGAACGGATTGAAATCACGTCTTGCACTCCGGAAGCTAATCAAAATGTTACCCTTCCGGAATGCAACACTTGACAGGTTTATAAACCGACGCGGTACCACGCGCACAAATTGCCATGCAGACCACAAACCTCTTCTTTTTCGTCCCAAATTTGAGATTGGACTGCATCTGCGACTTCATCTGTCGCTTAATAGATAGCCTTTTTGAAGCGGGAGCGGCAGGCTGAATGGGGGCAGCAACAGTTGTGGCAGCGGTGGCAGTGGACGACGACTTCAACAGCTTCTGCTTCGCGGGAGACGGTCCCGCTGATGCCTTCTGCGGCTTCACGTCCGGAACTGCGCACTTGCATGGTTGCCATGGGAAAGAGACAAGACTGATGAAAAAATAAAGTGAATTAGAATGTACGAGGATCGACATACACAGGATGGACAGTGGGATCTTGATCGAGGGATTTATCGAAACAGGCCAGAGCCATGGAATTCTGAGAAACACAAAGAAGGTAGAAAAATTGAATTGTACTGCATCTACCGTTGTTTTGCCTCTATGAAGGGAGTAGACGTATCTCGTTGGATTAATCAAGTCTTTGTCAGCTTCATTGTCCACGGATTTGGTCAGACGCACAACATACTCCTAGTTTCGAAGGAGAGGATCATTCTCGAACAATGAAAAAAAACATACCCATCCACCTTCGGAACTAGTATGAAAACCACTGACACAGTAGACGGGATGTAAATGTGGGTGTCTTCTCAAGTACTTTCCGAGATTTCTAAAGAAAGTACAAGGTACGGTAAAGATCCCACCTCTGAGATTCTTCCAAACTCCATCCAAAGGCAATTGAGAGAGATTTGTAGGATGCCTAGGTTGGAAATTGTTTTACAGACGCTAGTATGCCTTACTATTCCATCATAATCCTCAAAGTGCTGATTCACGGAGCTTAATATTTCGTTCTCCATCCGGATCTGAGAGCCTGAGGCTTAAAACTGGTAAAATTTCGACATCCGTGTAAAGCAGTTAAAGTTAGTAAAGAATGGGGTATATTTGCAAAGAATTTCAGTCTATTAAGACATCAATAACCTATCACAATCGGAAGCAGAGAATCCTGGTTTGAATGATAAACAACACATGAGATGAAGCGAGTCAGCACTTTCTAGGTGTCGGTAGCTGTTACTGTCAGTCAAACATATTAGTCCTGATGGTTTCAGGGAAAACAATATTAACCATGAATACTTCAATCCCAAAACGCTTCCGACAGAAGAAATGACAACAAATATGTCATATCGTACAAATAAATTTGCTAAGCAGAAAGGATAACCGCGAAATCAGGCACGGATATGAAAGGCGCACAAGATGTTCACGCACCGCGCCGCCAAAGGTGAGCAATATAAATCTTTAATACATGCTGGCAGTAATTTATTGCTGGGGTTGACTTAATTATGCTTTTAAAACAAACTAAAATAACAAATTCGCGCATTCGAAGCGTATTCGTGTCTCCAATGTTTTGAGCTGGAAATAGTCAGCTGACTATTTGTAATTTGTAATAGCCCCAATTTGAACCCTATGCATGTTATACCATGTCTATAACCGTTTTTATACCCAAAAGTGCATTGCACTTAAAAACTGTGGCCCATCGGGTCTTTCCTAGAGGAGCATGTAGCCATATTGCAATAGTTTGGTTGCAAAACTCTTAGCCTCACCAAAAAGGCGCAAACATTGCCCATCCTTTAATTTTGGCTGGCCTTCGGGCAATGCCAGTAACCAATAAATTAACTTTATATTAAAACGCGTGCGTATATCAGTGGCAGCGAAAAGCAAGCCTGGTATGAAGGGACATCTCTGCTGATTTTTACTGACGGGCAAAAACAACGTTACGGCAAAGTTGCAGACGTTAAAGATAGACGAATCTGTGACAACTCTTAACATATAGAGTAAAATAACGTTTATTTTAATTAGTGCCCTAGGGCCTTACTCTTTGGGAATAGTGCCAACAAGTATAGCGACATCAGCTATATACCATCTAAAAATTTTCGTTATAGTGCTGTCTACTCTACCTGAATAAAGATGTCGATGAAGCGAGCATGTGGCTCCTTCTTCACTTCTTTGCTAGATGAATAGAATTTAGGTATATATGTCTAGGCAACCTTGAAGTAAAAGCAAGGCGGTAGAAAGGAGGAGAAGTAATACTTTACCTTCATGGAACCAAATTTGATTCTCTCCTATTTTGCACAAGTTTGCTTTTAGTCCAATGTACCTTCAAATATCCGTAGAGATGCGTGGTGACCAGTACATTACACGGCTCTCAATACAATTCCTACACTAGGCAAAATACTGGATTGGGTAGAATTTTTATGAAAGAATAAGTAAAGGTAGGTTCAAGATCTACTCAGTTACATGAAAGCTCATTGATGGTACGGTTTTCTCGTGGGTTTTTTTTGCATCACTAATTACGTTGTGATGGTTGACGTAGGACGTTGACCTGTAATACGACAGTGGTTTATTGCTCGGTATTGGTGAGGAGCCACTTTTGAACCTTTGAATTTGCCTTCCTGTACCTCTCTGGGTGGGCTGGCCCTCGGCCTATGCCAGTAGACCAAACACCTTCTCTGTATTACGTCCTCTTTTGTCTTCAGGGAAGTCTCGGGGCTCGACAGAAAAAGTGCGTTGCTGAGGACGAAAACTAAAGGAAGAGAGGGGCAACGCAATATATTGTCTGTTCGCTTAACTCCCGGATTTATTAAAGAAGATACTCAGGACTCCCACCATTGTAATTTCACCGGGTAGGCTGGCCTATGGGCATACCAGTACCCCTTATCTTTACTGTGTGCGCCATATATTCTGCCCAGGTATTTTGTCTTTAGAGGAATCCTGGGCCAATGCAATAATACTTGGGTAGAGCATACGTTCATGAAATACAGAACCGCTAAAGGGATTGCAGCTAGTAGGGTCCGGAGGGCATTCTGGCCGTTAAAAGTACAATATCGGAATATTAAGAGCCTGCGTAACCAAAGCGTGGAGTTAAACCAACTGTCCAGGCGTTGCAAGTCAACTGTGAAACCATTATTAACCTTGCTTGACCTAATAAATGTAACAGTCATACAACACCATCTGATTTTACCCTAGCTTTCTTTAAAAAAACCGCTTTAACAGGTGGCTTCTTACACCGCTTATGTGCATTGCGCTGAGTCAACTTTCAAAACCAATAAACTGCAATACCATAAAAGGTTTTTTTAATACACATGCAGAAGTAACTATAGAATTGTAATGATAGATTGAATTTTTCATAAGAGCAATAGCTGACATCGACATCGATTAAATTCTCACATCTGATTATTTCCCCACATTAACTTAGGCAGGTGTATGACTTTTACGGTAAGTTATGTTTTTAAAAAGCAACAAATCTTATTTTGAACATGGTGGTTAAGCACTCTAAGCCCTGTTGTGACGCATTAAAGCAGAAGGATTTATTGTATTTTGTAATACTTTACAAGATATACAATGTTACCAGCGGCATACCCATTCCTTATATCACCTGATTTCGAATAAAACGTTATGAGTAATTTTTAGGTGTACTGCTGCATTATTAATAAAAGTTTGTGCCAACTCAGCCTCCTACAAATTTGTTTTATGCTACATCCCTTACGCGCGTGCTCGAGAATATTTTCGCTTCGCATTTTGTCAAGATGTGGCAGGAGGCACGGAAGCACGAAAGGCACATCCGGTCAGTTTTGGTTGATTACCGAAAGCGAGCTGAGCGGCGATTAAACTTCTATTCTCAAATCGTAATTTTACGCCTTCAGCTAACGTGTTTCTAGCGGCAAGACCCAATCAAGTTTTTGAGAGTTTACGGCACACAAGCGAAAATAAATTTAGATGTCGAGGTGCGGAAAGCTGCCGAAAACCCCAAAAACATGTATGTTTAGTCTTTGCGCACTCTTTATGTACTTGCTTTGTGGATTTTACTCCCTACATTGTGAGAAATTCCTCTTATTTATCTATTAATTAAGATGAGCACTTTTTTGCAAAAAAATATTGTTTTTTTCTTAGGATGCCTTGGACGGTAGATCCATCCATCTTGATTGATCGTTTCGATGCTAGGGCGAACCTTGAAACCTATTCATCGACAAAGCCTACTGACATAAAGTGATATTCGTTTCCTTTTTGCGTTGCTTTTAACTTCTTTTCACACATGACCAACAGCTATTTTTGACAGACAAACCACAGAAGAGAAGATTGAGGAACGTCTGTGCAATTACGAACGCTATAGATGTCTTGCACACAATGATTTTCTTGAAGGTATTAACATGCCTTTTCTTTAACGCTTGTAGGATAGTACACTTTCTTCGCTTGAGTGATACTTGCAATTTCATTTCGACTTTAGTGACTGAGTCGATGGCGCTTAAGCAAATCGAACGAGAGGAGAAGTATGGGGATACACTGACCAAGAAACACGAGGAGGATTCCAGGGATAAAAAGTAATTTGCTACTGATTTAGCTTTCCTAAAGGGACTGTGCACTAGCTTTTTTATGCAACTTCTTTGTGCTTTGTCCTGTGGCGGTGCCATAGGCCCACGGGCTATTAGTCTTCCCTGGCTCAAGTGACTTAGAATGTGAACTCCTTTTTTTCGGATCACATTAGTTACTCTTTTATTGTTCATTAGACTTGTTGCGATGTTTGGCTTCTGCTTTTAAAAAGTTTTGATTTAGCTTTAAACAGTCTACTCCTGCAGATTGGTCGTTTCACCCATTGACTTTATTTGACACTTCCCACGCTCTCTTCCTTTGGTAAAGTAAACACGAATAATTCACTAAATAAATCTGTTACGTTTGGACCAAAGTTTACGTACATTTTTGCCACTGTGACTACTTCAGTTATCTGTGTCACCAAGTCGGTGCTGTTGTTGTACTTTTGTTTTCTCGACTACATAATTAGACGAAAAGCGGAGTAACGATGTTCGCTGTCCCCTATTCTGTCTAGACCACTGGAACCCAAAGCAGCCATCGGATTTGTGTACGAAGAGGGAGAAATCATAGCCGGGAAACTGGCGCTGCCTTTGCAGTCGAAGAAAGCTAGCACCGGTTCAGATTCCGAGCCCTCAGATGTGGACAGCGATGCAGATATCGGTGCGTTATGAGCGTCTCCCTTCACTTCAATTATGACTTTTGAAGGAAATGCGATCTGTTGATTGCATCTTCCGATTGCTGTTTGTGTGACCAAGTGATTTGGTCGAGAGATCTTAACTTCAGCCTTGCGCAAGTAACAGCTTTTTAAATTGGTGGAAAGTTTAGTTCGTTGTTTGTTCTTTTTTACACCTCAACCCTCCGTGTGGATATTGAACTAATTATGAGTTACATTGTGACGTGATTGATTTATTACTGGGAGACCCGCTGTTACTAACCCACACTTTTTGTTGTTATTTTTTAATGCTCGTTCGGTTTGCACAACCATTTGTTCTTGTTTTATGCTTTTATACTGGTCTTGATACCAGCCTTGTATCACAAACGGAAGTTCCATCTTCCGTATTCTGCATAGCATTAAAATCGGCCATTTACTTCTGCGACAAGTGAAATATCGCAGATGCCCTTTTGTCTCAGAAAATGAGCATCCGTTGTCTTTTAACACTAACTTCTCTTGAAATTTTTGAGTAACGCCATATTTCGGTGACTTTAAATTTGAATGCATCAATCGAAGGAATGGCACCAAATCCATTCTAATTTGCTTCAGCTAAAGTATACCCACTCATAATTGTAAATATTTCTTTGCCTTCGTCTTCATACGTCGACTTCGACAACTGCATATTCTACGTAAATTATTCCACCTATCTGGCTCTTTCTTCTGGAGACTCAATTTCATTTATCCTCCGTCTTTTCCTCCCCCTTTTCAGACGTGGAGCTTGATCTGGACAGCTTGGATGCAGAGCAGCGCCAGGAGCTGATTGAACACTCCCATGCGTACGGCATGAAACGCTCCGACTTCATTCGTCTCCTCGACGCCGATCAGGTACTCGAAACGGAGCTCCGGATGGCCAAAATATTGGAGGAGGAGAAGTCGCAACATGTGGGTTGTTTTTAAGCATGAAAACCGCATCCTGGATTCACATTCCATCGTCCAGTACCTGCACCGTTGTGGATCAGTCCACCCATTCATTCATCCATTCGTGAATCATTCCAAGTATCTTCCTGTAAATTCTACCCGTCGTTATTATTTTAGAATTCAGGCGGCAACCGATCAGAGCTCATCGAACCTTCACTATTCAGTTCTACAGTTTTTGAATTTTGATTTGAAAATACGTACTAGCGAAGGGTATTTAGATATTCTAATTTACAAAAGTATCACTCAACAACCTGCCATCTTGGTTGAATTAGTGAACCCACTTTGTCCTTTACTTCCCGCATCTCCATCTCTGTTTCAGCTGAGAAGGCCAAGACGAAGACACCAGCCGCGAATGCGGCAACCGTTCGATAAGTATTCACCTGCTGTCCAGGGACCGAAGTATGTGAGCACCGCGCTTTCCCCTCTTTCCCTCTCTCTCTGCCTGTCTCACTTTGTGTCTGCCTGTGCGTTTGCCATCCTCCCACCCCCCTGTGTTTTTGCCTAACCTATATACTGCGATGTTTCTTAATATTCCTCCTCTTCCTTGCACAGGGTCGGCCTCCTCAACGGACAGCCCATCACTCGGTAAGATGGCCTGACGTAAACTTACTACTTTAATAATTTCAACAAAAGTTTTGTACTTATTTTCAAGAAGCCAATGATGGTAGCTACAGCATCCTCCATGTTAACTTTCCCTGGGTTCGTTTCGATATTCTAGCGAGGACATCATACCTTAAACAGGGGAATGTTTCACAGCATCATATTTCGTTAAATGTTTTTTTAAATACTATTCTTCACTTTTTAATGTTTGCAAACTATGAAAACATTAAATGAGATACATCCAACGCTTATAACCTCGTTCTGGAAGTAACTAATTTTTTCAGACAGTCCCGCCTTCGTATCGTATCAGGACAACTGCCTTGAAAAGTGACGAATAATTTTATGGAAGTGGTAACTTACTGGATTAAAATACATGCGTCATTTCTACTCTAGCCGCAAGGTTTACCTCTCAGGCGCCTCCTCAGACTCGGAGAGCTACGGGTCGCCTTCGTCGGAGGATGAAGATCGTGGCGGCAGGAGTCGCAATTTCAGCTCCGGAAAGACGGCTTCTCAGTTGGCGCGCACCAAGCCCGCGCTATTTGAGTCAAAACGACCCGCGGTTCTTATCGGTGGGCTTACTCTTGTGGCCTTCTGTGACCCTAAGAAGCGTCGCAGGCGCTTTCGTGACCGTCCGCGCAGACGACAACGCAGTAGCCGATCGAAGTCACGAACTTCTGGCTCAGAGGTGAGTGATTGTATCCGAAGGTGTAATAAAGCATGCTAGTCTGGAAGCAGGTCCATTCTCGATGTACAGGAGAGCTCGGCGACTAGTAGCCTTAAATCAATTACCTGGATTTTATGCCACCTGTGTGTAGGTAGGTCAAAGCAGGGGAGTTCAAAAGGGTCCGTGTAGTTTAATACAAGTTTTAAGCTGGTGCTGCGTAGTTCTCTTTGGTGGAACACGTTGTAAAGGAGTGACGATAGACGATATTCGACACCTGGCGCGTGTTTTAGTCCAAGCATTCCTTCTAGAAACATTTGCCTAGAAGCAAAATAATTCTGTGGGACAACATAAACCGGCTTTCTGGGGCTGGGTTTGGCATTCATATATACACTTTATTGCCACTTCGATGGTTAGAAGGCGCCTGTCTGAGCTACTGTCAGCTTCTGGAGACATAGAAAGGTTTATACCCCTCGGATGGCTATCATAATTCAATATTTTCTCATAAATGGCTTGAACGAAAAGCGCTTTTACTGGCAGCTTAAACCCGATTGAATCTGGTCCTTCTTCGCTTCTAACGGGTTTGCGGACTACCAGTTTAAAAGGTTCTTTGGTAGCTTCAACGAAACCAGAATGGCTTTCATCGTCTTGAGGGAAGTTCACTCGCCTTCACCGTCAATGCAGCGTTCTAGCCGGCCTGAGGAAATGATACGACTTATGAAGCGTACAGAAGGGGTAGAAGACCGAAAGGGATTCACCTTTTTTAGGAATCTCGTGACTCCAGCAGCGACAGCAGTCGCCGCGGTCGTTACTGCCACCGAAATCGAAGTTCAAAGCGTTCGAAAGTGGAGTACATCACCACCTTTGGCAACGAGGACGAGGATGATGAGTTGACGGAGCGGAGGGATTTCCCCCTATCCCACCTTCCGGGGGTGGCTGCCGGACGTCCAAGTGATGCCGCCTCAAAGGTGGCCGCTTCCGTCGTCTCTTCGTTGTTCAAGGAATCCTCAACTGCCGCTGCCCATAACAAAAAGACACCAGGCAGTATTCGGATGAAACCGGCTTCAGCTGCTTCTATCAGGTTGGGTGCTGTTTTTTTTTGATATTCTCCGTGCTGTTGGGAATTTGCTCTTCACAGCCTCTGCGTGTATCTGAATTCTCAATTCATTTCTAAAAGCATGGACAGAAGGGTAGTGAAGACCGAACAGTCCGAGCATTTAGATATCTAAAGAAATGTCGTTTTAGTCCACTGGCAGGATTTCGAAGCCTTGAGAATGTATTCCGGTTGTTGGTCTCAATGGCACACTACCGATCATTGGTCCAAATAGCACCCTTTTAAAATTTTTTAATCATCGTCGTCGCAGTTCTTCATCAGCACAGTCCAGATCTTCGGCTGCAAGAGATCGTCGCTTTTCGTCGTATCGACATAGACAGTCCTCTTCTTCCTCATCCACCACCAAAAGACGTTCGCGTCGACGTTCTTCCACGCGCTCGTCATCGTCATCACCCTCGCGCTCGGGCTCAACGGCCAAGAAGGCGGGCGGTCTGACCTCCCATAATCGATCACCTAGTCGTCGTAGTGGCGATGGGTGAGCCGTGCTTTATTTGTTTTTTTTTTCTACTTTCATTTATCCCTTGATTTGTACATTCTACCACTTGTACCACTTTTACTTGTCCGCGAGTAGGGAAGAAGTGGTGCCAATCAAGCGCTACTATCGCCGTGAGTTGGAGTCCGACGAGGAGAAGAAGATGGTGCTCTCTTCATCCGCCTCCTCCGCTTCTGCCTCCGCGTCGGATACTGAGGGCTACCGTCGGCCCTCATCGCCTGCCTCCCCTACTCACGACCACTCATCGTTCGTGGAGCCCGACGGACGAAGAAGGTAGGTGGACCTCTGAGTTTCCTTGTTTCCGAGCCTCATTAAATTGTTCTCCATCATCATCATTGCCATCGTAGCAGTTACTCCTGGACTGCGTGTTCTTAGTGTTGGAGGTCACTTTTTAAGCTAAAGTTTTTAAGTGAGGGCGGGAGGAGCTGTTGTGGACAGATGCTATACTTGAGCGTAATACCACGAATCTTGAATAAATGGGGAGGTATGTAACCTGACTTCCATGCGATCTACAAAGACCCATCCCTAGCTCATACGCTCTAGATACATTTTTCGGGAGTTTCTATTTGCCTAACATCCTGCCTTCTCTTTCATCCAACTCCAGTAGAGTGTTCGGGTAAGACTTACTCGTCTAATGTTGCTTGTCATGTGTGTCTCGCACACTAACCTCCTGCCTCCTTGGGGCTGTTCCTTGGCTTGCAGGTACTTGGGCAACCTGGGCGAGGCGGGTGACTTTTTCCCCGGGGGTAAGGGAACAGCCTCACCTTCCCAACACCACCATCAACAACAGCACTCGGTCGATCGATATTCCAATCCTCCTAACCCACATACTTCTACTTCCTCTAAAGTCAGTTTCTACTACCCTGTCCTCGCCCGATCTGCTCTAGCCCCTCCCCTCTGGAAATCTTAAAGCATTCTGTCTACTTACGGCAATTTAAGTAGGCCTAAGTTTTATTTTGGAGCCGGTAGTAATTGACTCACCTTCAAGAATGGGGGGCTTTTCATGTAATAATTGAAGCTGTTTTCTAACTGTCAGTGTTTGTCTTTTTTAATTCAGGATATCCGGACATCAGTAAACAAGGTGGTGTTGTCCACTACCCCTAGACTCACTCCCCAGGAGATAATGAAGCGACGAATGCAAGCGCAGTTGAACAAAACGAGTGAGTTCTAGAGGTTGTCTTCTTTTTATGATTTTTTTAAAATCAAAATGGGGACCATTCTGTGGTTGTGTGCTGTTTCGATTACCCATAATCACCTAGCAGGTTATTGCTTGTGATGCCCCGTTTTTTAAAGGATTTGGGCATCTAAACCGAGAAGAGAAATATCTATGCTGTTTTATGATTTTACCCATGGAATAAATAGATGTTCGATTTCCTCAATGGTATGACTCCTTGGTAAATATAGATGGCTGGATTTCCAGATTATATATGGGAGTCAAACCTTAATGTTAGCTTTCTGGTTTGGCCTGTGAATGCTGGCTTTTCCTTCACCCGAGATTCACAAAACCTCCACCCTTGCTATTAAACTTTTCGACTTCCCCGGTTTCCTGTTGGGTGTAATAAGAACCCCAGGCTTACCCTTATGGAAATCCGTTCTGCTTGATGGTATGAATAACATCTCATCCTTTCATGTCGTTATCACTGTCGTGGTCACTTCAGGAGTTCAGTCATGCGTATTCTGACGAGAGATAAATCATAAACTGTTTACCTCCAAAAGAACACTTTGCTTCAACGGCACTATGAACAATCTCTGTCGCTTTTACGCGTTAAGCGCAGTGTTCCTTATTCACTGGCTGTCACTGACCAAAACGAGTAACAAGGAGGTGTTTAGGTATCTCAGCATTCGAAATCTGGTCTAACTATAGGTGAAAGCTAATTATTTATTTAAAAAGGCCTAGTTTATGTGATGGTTGTGGTTCTTGAAGGACGCAAGTGATCCAAGCCATCCCCGAATACGTAGTAAAGGATGTTCGCATTAAGGAGTTGTCTATTATTAGCACATGGAAGGATTTGAAGGCCTGGGGATATGTAGCTAAGACAGTTTCCACATCTGCGTAGATAACTACACAATGGGGTGTTGGAAGAGTGAATGCGTCTCTGACACTGGTACAACTGCCAGAGTAATCTTTCGGTTATTTTCTGCTATCTCATAAGTGTGTGGAATGGATTATTAGTGGTCGTGGACTTGGTAAATCCACCTCGTTCAGTAAGAAAACAATCTGTAAACATTTTCAATTTTTATCAACGTGTTGACAAAGTAATGACAAAACACTTCCTCCTCTCCCACTCGTGGACTGGCCGAATTAGTGTTTGAGCGGCCAATTTAATTAAATAAAGACTTGGAAACTTAATCCAGCCATTCTGTGTGACTGTGGTTGCAGAGTTTTCATTAATTGCCACACACACACATACAGATAGAAACAAGAGGAGGAGCGGCTAAGGGAGCTGTTGTTTCCCCCAAACGCATAAATTGAGGTGGCCTGGTGCACCATTCGCCCTGCAGGCGCGAACACTGGTATTTTTCTTTTTGCTTCCTGTCTTGGTTTGCGTGCCTTATTTTGTCTCCTGTTTTCTCACCGTAGTGAACGCTGAGAAGAAGGCTGAATTGGAGCGATTGGAGAAACAAGAGAGGGAGCGTATGGTACGTCGCGATTTTGATACCTTTTGGCCTTTAATTGCTTGACAGCATTCTGCATCAGCTCTCTGGACTATGTCAACTTAATCTAACGCCTCTTACGACATTTACTGTAGGAATTGATCCACCCCTCCATCGCATTTGTTCGTCGATCCTGGAATCACTATTTTAAATGCGTTCATTTATTCACTCACTCATCTCCGGTCATCCGCCTATCCATCCCGTATGCATCCACTCAACCATTCTGTACCCATCCATCTATCCACCCGTCCATTCCGCATCCATCTATCCACCCGTCCATTCCGCATCCATCTATCCACCCGTCCATTCCGCATCCATCTATCCATCCATCCCGTATCCTTCCGTCCATCTGTCTATCCCTCTTCCTACCTACCTATCCATCATCTATGTATGAATTTATCTATCATTCATCTCTATTAATTTATTCGACGATATTGGTGTTGGCTGTCAGGTTATATTGCATCAAGACGTATGAAGAAATCTTCAATTGCCTGTGAGCCATTGCTCGGCTTTACTTCGAAGTCGGGGTAGTTCATTGGAAGAGTTGTTTAATGTGCTTTGGGGAAACAATTGCTTGATACATTCCGGCTCTGGAAGGTTGCAGGAATTGCTGAAATCCCTTGTCGATGCTATTCCGTTTTGATTGCTTTTCTACCATTTTGACTGTAAATATTATGATTTCCAACAAGCCACAACTTAAGACAGCCGGTGGAAGTAACCGCTTCTTATCTGAGAAGCGGTATATACGTATACGAACAGAGGAAAGCCGATGATCTTTGGCTTGCTTAAACTGACGTGTCTAGTCGCGATAAAATTGGGCTTTTAAATTTGCCGACAAACGCGTCCAATATAAGATGACGCCGCCTTTTTCTGCTGCAGGATCGAGAAGAAGGCTTGCGCAAACTTGCAGCTCAGATGCGCCAAAGAGAGATTGAGAAGCGACTAGCTGAGCGCGGCTTTCGGCATCAGCTCTCCTCGCATCATTCATCCACGGGTGCGGCTTCTTCCTCTCGTCGCTCCGCCTCCTCATCGACCAGTCGTAGCTGTTCGCCAACCTCCCCGATCGTGCCGCCCGCTCTTCGGCGCACCTCACCTTCCCAGCTCTCCACAGTCAATCTTGGTACGGCAGTGAGGAAAAATGTCCTGCTTTTCCTGAGAATATGCCTGCAGATTGCTTTTTGGATATGTATTGAGTAATTTAAAATAGGTGGATCTCCTAGCTGCCCGAATTTATGGTTTTGGGGACCAAGGAGTACCGCATTTTCCTTTCGAATCTACTCATGAACTTTAAGTAGCATATATAAGTGCTACATCCTTCAAAGAAACTAATTAAAACACGCGATTAAGGGTTCGTTTTCTCGGTCTTATATTTTTCCCGCGTTCAATTTTCTTCCCCTTCCCGTCTCCGTAGAAATCAGTCCTGGAGGGCCGTCGAGAGCGCGGCTGCGTCGTCCGCCTTCACCGTTTCGTCGTCGGGACTACCAAAATCGATACGGCGGGAGCACGCGTAGATAGCAGGCGCCCTGCCCTCCTCGCCCCGGCAACCGTGGTGAACGAGGAAAGACCGTTACGTGCTTGGTTTCTTCTGCGTGTGTGTGTGTGTGCGTGTGAGTGTGAAGATCACCGAAATTTTAGCAATTTTGAAGGTGCTCCTTCTGTCTTGGGTTTTGGTATCAGCTTTTGAAGGTAGCCTAGTTAGCTGAGAAGTTTGTCTGTTCGGGTCCTGCATTGCAGTGAATGTCTCTGTGTTTGGATAACGCCCTGTTTTTGGTTCGACTTTTGTTTTTTATTTGTCTTTTTACAGACTAAATGGGTATCAGTTTGGCTTTATCTGCATCGAATTCTTTAACGTAGCGACCAAATTAGCCAAGTAGCTATGTACGAATGCCAACAATTTTATCGTGGCGACTTAGTGAACCAGTTTTTATTTCTATCAGTGGACTGGTAGGCTGTCACGTGGACTCGCGACTCGTTATCACGCGGTTTACTCATTGAGGCTTACTCGGTGAGTGATGGGCTAGTGGATTGCAGCCCGAGCTTGTTTCCAGTGCTTGTTTTACTGCAGGATGTTCTCGAGGGCTGCATCGATGAGCCCTGTCCTTCCACTCATGAAAAATGTGGAGTTGCGCCTAGCGGCAACTATTCAGGAGGTTGAAATGAGTTTAAATCCCCATCTTATCCATCTTGAGCGGGTCTTGTTATGGCTTGCTTCCAACGACTTCGAAAGTGAGCCCTATTCTTAGCCTTGCAAGGTAACACGAGACTTCACCGCTGATTCGTGAGAGGATTCCATCCTGGACTCTAAGATTAAAGGGGCGCTCTACCCACTCCTCATCCCTCTTATTCCCCTGTTGATATTTGTTCAAGCTAATCGCATATGAAGTAGGCATCTTGGGGTAAAACTGAAGCGGAAAGGAAGGTGATTTGGTTGTGTGCCTCTTGTTGTAGTTACCTTAATTTATTTGGTTGCCTTATTCAAATTGTGGACCATACACCGTAAAAGCACTGATTGAAGGACCAACTCCTCCGAGTTTTGACTTTGTGGGGGAATTTGAGACAGCCAGGGCAGCAACAATGGCCTTCAGTCGGTGTGGACGAAACCGGAGGATTTCGAACAAAGCTCCCATGGCAGGAGACCTCATCTGTTAAATAAGAAGCTGGAAGTATTTCCTACTATTTTCCCCGAAAGTTGAGTTTATTTGCTTCTAATTTGCAGTAAATATTTCACGGAAATTTGTTCTCATAATTCATTTCAAAAGTTTATTTGAAATGCCAGTAGCGGTTGGAAAAAAATGTGTGGAACATTGAATACTCTTTCAAGGTCGTGTAACTGATTGACTTTAAAGACGTGCCCACAGCGCCCTCAGTCTTCCCTGAAGCAAAAAGAAGTCATAGCACTCGGGCAGAACGTGTATTGTCGACGTGCAGAAGGGCTGATGGGCTATAGGCATAGCTCGTGGACTCTGCCACTGAGTGGAAGTGCGAAGACGAGGTCTTAAGTGCCTGCCAATCTAAAATGATGAGCTAAACAATCAGGATACTTTACTGTCCATGGGTAATCACCCTTGTCCGAATCTATAGCTTCCTTGAGGTGGATCAGTATCATTTCATACAGGAAAGCGTCTTATTTGATGGATGAACTATTTGAAATTGGGATGTTCCGTTTCCATAGGGCTTTAAACTCCTCACCGTTAACTTCGACAGTATTTTTGCACCCAGTCGCTCACCCGCGGAATGCGACGCGTGCGCCCGCCGACCGGCCGCACAAATTCCGCGGAATCACGAATCAGGTGGGCGGCAGTGACCACTGGTCAGCGCGTCGTGTCCAGGTGTTCGACCAATCACGCCGTGACGTCGGCGGCAGTGGTCATTTCGGTGCCACCGCGATTGGTCAATAGCCTCATGGGCTCTGACATAGAGAGAAATGGTGTTTTCACGTATTCGTACCACTCAGGTGTCATGAGAGTTTGACATCTGCGACCCCTATCTGCACTCCTAGATCCTGAGCAGTTTGGATCTTACAAGGCAGCTCGATAACCAAGTGGATGTGCCAGAAAGGATTGAAGACATCCACCTTTGCTTTCAAAGAGCAATGCTTTTGAGAAGGTAAGATCATTTATTACTTCTTTTCCATTTCTAAGGCGATAAAATTTGTGGAATGGTATGAATTTCGCCAATGATAGCTTCGGTAGACGAATGAGGACAGCTTTGTAACATGACATCCTTACTGGCGAACAGTTAACTACTTATATCAGCTCTCAATTACTAGTAGTATATTGGTCCGAAAATCACGATTTCGCCCAGCGAATACAGTTGGGCCAATGTTATCACCAAGACCAAATAGCACATAAAAACGGCTATTAATGGTTGCAGTACTTCATAATTTCCTCTTGACATCGACTTTATTGCATCACATTCTGCTCTAGCGGCTAAATTTTGTTGAAAGGCGTCACTGGATTTATGTGGACACTGAAGATGGAATTTGAGAATGTTCGGCCTCTATTGGCGGAGAAGGCATTCTGGAATTCAAACCACCTCTCGGCTACGAACTTGGAATCTGATTGAAAGCCTTAGCTAACAGCTCCCCGATCCTGTTTATTTTTGGGCCATTTCTTCCATTAAATGACAAAAAAAATCGCAAAGGTAAAGCCCATAAGGGGGAGGCTTCTTAAAGCTTTCTCATGAATTTTGCATCTGCCTTCGTAATCATACACAAATAAAGACAGGAGGGGCCTGCGGTGGTGGCGGTAGCGGAGGCTGCAGCCATGCCCCCTCTCCCCAACCCCACTTTCTTATCCCCAAAACGGAGCACATACAAACGCAAACCAAGTCAGAAAGAAGGTCAGTAGTGCATCACCTTATCAAAATATATGAGATATAGATGAAAGCATTTGTTTTGTTGAGCAAATTCACCCAAACACCCTGATCGCGGCCTGTTCTCATAAATTTAAACATTAATTGGGTCTAGTGCAGGAGTTATGAACCACCTGAGTAAATATTGGAAGTGTAATGAGGAACAAAAATTTATTGTAAAATGCCCAATTGATGGCGTGGAACAGATGAGACTAAAAAACCGTAATTATTCCATTTGAAATGCACTGCTCGTTATTCAAAAGCCTGGCAAGTGGACCAAAGACTTCCCTGACATATGGGAACGGGGAAAGGTGATGAGGTGCGTGATTTCACGCAACAACAAAGACGACCTCTTGTTTTAGCCATGGTTATACAGAACCATTTGTCGCTCTCGCCACCCACTTCGCTTTGATCACGCAAAATGACTGGTCGGAGTGGCCAGACGGCTAGTTTTCTTGTCTGCCAATTGACTTGGATACAACTATCACTGATAGATCACTTTTGTTTGAAAGAGACTGGTGTCTCATGGAACGACCCGGAAGAAACGATATCCTGGCCTCTGTTAGTTTGGCAATTATGGTAAGTAAATAAGTGGCTGTGTATATAAATACTAGTTCACTGAATAGATCACACTAATAATTGTGGAAAGATGTGATTTATTTTTATTCAGGTAGAATTCATTAATATGCGAAATAATTTTATACCAATTCGACCAAATTAAGATATTTATCGATATCTGGCTCCAAAAAATAAGGGATCTGTGCGGTTCTGGCGACCGTTTTCAACCACTAAGCGGAAATTTGAAGATAATGGCAAGTGGATAAACAAATGCAGCTACAACTCTCAAACTACTCATAAATAGCAAGTTACAAATTCCAAAACGCCAGCTGCATTTGTTTCTACTGAATACTACTTTCCAGCAGGTAAAAGCTGATGTGAAGAGGGGTTGTTTATTTAAAATAAGCAAAATAGTACAGAGAAATGAAGATTTTCAAGGTTGGCTTACTAACGTAGCGCGAAAGTTCAAATTACCGAAGTAAGCTGAACTAGCAAGACTACTGCTAAACCGTATTCATTTCCATCGGAAAATATTATGCTATAAACTTGTCAGAAATTTAATAATGAGCTAAGCAATTTGGAGTTGTCTTTCTTCAGTTCATGCCTAAATAGGAGTAAAGAGAATCACCCAGCAAAATGGCGCGCTACTTAAGTGTAACAGAAGAAATAACTCAATGAAAGGAGCAAGGTAAAGCAAATGATATTTCAAATAAACGATTCTGTCATAACATGGGAAGCAGCTGTTATAAAACTCTGGAGGATACGACCACACGCACGTATAAACGAAAGTTGGCTGCGGTGAAGTCGAAGGCTAGCAAAATGTGCCCAGCAGATACTCTTTGCCTTCACATCCACCTCCTCCTCCTCCTTTATTTCCGCAGCGCAGATTAAGAGAGCAATCGATCATGCGAGCCTGTCACCAGAAAGAGGGCACGCAATATACACCCCTCCACTTCCCTCCTCTTTCCTCCCCCCTCCACACACACGTACTAGCTGGCAGAAACAGCAGCAGTAGATTCCAATTTCGCGCTCCGCTGTCCACTTTTTCCTCACCTCGTTTTTTGTTGTGTGTGTGTGTGTGTGCGGGGGAAAAATTTATCGCCTTGCGTGCGAGCAAGTGTCCGGCGGTCGCTACAAGGGTGGCGATCACTTGTTTGCCCGCCTGCTAGCCTGTTCGCTTTCTCCTATCCACTCCCTTTCTCTCCTTCGCCTTTCGCCTGCCCTACTGTTCGCTGACTTGCCCGACCGACGGGCAGCGAAAGGAGCGTAGGCAGCAGCCACGCAAATAGGCGATAAAATTTGGTGTGCAAGGCGGGCGGGCAGGCGGTGTGATGGCGGGAGGTGGGGAGGTGGTTTTTCCATTCATTCACTCAGACGCTAGCTAGCTGGATGGTTAACACTTGCTCTTCCCCAATTACAACCACACTGCTGATTCCGTTTAATTTCTCCCTGTCTCACGCGTGGTCAACCGTCTGCCTGCTTGACTTCACATTAAAGAAGCTTTCTCATTACAGGCACATCTCGACGCCTTACCCACTCACCAGCAAGAAAAAAGTCCCAGAAGCTGATATTTGATGGGTTGAAGAACCTCCGGATCCTAACATAATGTCTGTTAAAAGCAAAGGAACTTAATCGTGCAAATTTATTAATTAGTTAAGAGCTGTTTACTTCACCTTTGGTGTCGAGTATCCACCTTGTTTGTAAAGGAGAGTTGAAAACCACCTAAGAAACACGATTTTTCGACGAAAAGGCAACAAAATCAGATCTGCATAATGAATAGACTATTCTCGCCATCTCATTCCGCAACGGTCATTGTTTTGCTCTGAGCCAGCGACCAGATTAATGGACGAATGAATGGGTGACTGCAGAGCTGAACATCCTAGCATAAGCCACGCAAGAAGTCCATAAAACACGTCCCTCTGTCTGCTCGTCTCTTTCTCCTCCTCTCGCCTTTTCCGTTTGCTCTTTCCTGGCGATTTCGTGTGATGTTTCGTTGATCGTGATAAAAAGGCAGGGAAACCGCATTTTGAACATATCCCATTTCGTTATCTTACTCGGTAAATAGGTCCAAAATTTGGTCTTTACGCGTTACTAGTAAATCACTTCCTTCCTCAACATTGACACTCAATTCTTACCTATTATCAAGAATAAGGAGTCTTTCTAGAGGAAATTCACCTAACTGTGAAGAAATTATCTCCAGCATCAAACCATTTATTTGAACCATCTCTTCAGACATTTTACAACAAATTTTTGGTGAGGTCTCATCAGCTTTGGAATCTAGTTAAAACCCAACCCCTTCTCTCAACTTCAAACGGCGTTTTGTGATTAAAGGGTGAAATTAGAAGAGGAGGAAAAGCATAAGAAAGGTCAATAAGGGGTGACCATGCCGATGGACTGATGCCCCTGCAAGTCCGCTTTGTCTGTGCATGCGTGTAAACATTTTCGTCCACTTGACAAGTGCCCATAAGTTATAAGAAATCTTTACAGTGAGCTACACTCAAAATAGCACGAACTTTTGGGCAACCTGCAGCCGCATTCACTTCGGTGACCCATTTGGTGATTATCAAAGTAAATGACAAACCCTGTCGGGCTAAAATGAACTGAATGTTAGGAAGCGCTCGTTCACAGAACAAGTTTCCCTTTACTTGCACATATCAACCCGTCATTGTTCGCCACTTTCCTCGGGGGCACAGTCATTCAAGGTTATCCAATTAGGTGAAATTGGGGTGACAGTCGCAAATTTGGAGCGTGAAATGACCCCAAAGTGGTTTGGCCATTCAGTTAGATTATGCGAACTATAATGAAATCGGTCATCAGCTTCGCTTGCCTCCAATGCTGAGAATAGTCCCTCAAATTGATAAATCACTTATGCGAGCAGGCATAAAATGGCCGTCATGGGTTTTCCACAATTGTTGTCGACAATTCACCAAATTACCAGGTCAGGCCCAAGCTGATGCCTCTAACCGCATTTGACTTTGCAAAATCGCTTTCTAGTTTCCAGACTTCATAAAAGGATCCAATTAGCGTCCAAAAGCCTTACAGAGAACCTAAGAAACACTGCAGCCATCAGCCGCGTTGGTGAGAATAATGAGTTGGTTCGGGCTTCGCGATGAACAGCAAGCTCAAACAGGATGTTAAATCACTTTGATCATACAAAATTTCGTTTTTTTAGGCAAATTTCAGAACTGATCCATCACTTTGCTACGCTTAGATTGGTTACGGCTTCACATAAAAGGGAGAAAATCCTCATCTTAGAGAACGGTGAGCAGGGAGGGATGTCACCTCACTTTCAGCTTTGCGTCTGTGCCAACAAAGCGACCAAAGTTCACATATCCAATTTCTTGCCTTTATTCCCTCCCCGTTTGTGTGTGTTACTTTGTTCTGCTTTCCTTCTAACTAGTGGCGAGGTTGCTGCTGTTGTTGTTTTAGAGACCCCCCTTGCAATAGCGCTCATATACACACACAGGCACAGCCAGACACACATCTG